CGCGAAAACTGCTATTTACTGATTTGGTAAATACTAATAAACAATACGTAAGAAGGGCTATAATATTATTAGTGTATCAAGTATCACTAAGAATGTGTCAAGTATCTAAGTCATTTCGTCAACGTGGTGATTCTAGAATATGTCCATCCCATTCAAGCATTTTACGTTAAATGGAGAATGGATGCCAGCAGATGCGCCGACGTCCCCTTTAGAGGCGGCTTGGTGATAACTTCAGGGGTAAGTACACAGAAGTTGAAAAATTTTTTAAAGAGCAACAAAACCAAACTGTGAAAAGCTCACGTTTTAAGTCAACAACAGTACGATTTTTCAGATTAAAAAAGAAACCAAAAGAACACAGTACGCGAAGATAAACATAATTACCAATCAATGACTAAAAAATGGGCATAAACTTGATCTGAGCCCACAAAAGCCGAATTCAATCACTGTTTTAATATTCGTTCAAAAAAAATTCATATTTAAAAAACAAACTTAAAAATGCTTTTCCCGACCGATGGAACGTTTACGTTTTTATTTGTCTCACTCGGCAAATCCAGGATATAAAGGGTTGTTTAGTCCTGCAGATATTCTACATATAGAATTGGAAGAAGTCCCCCCCCCGCTAACAATACAAATCGCCAATTACACAGAATATCGACAGGAAAATAGCCTGCGAAGACAACCTTCTCTTCTCGCTGCCAGGGACGTTTTGGGGACGAGACGTCTGCAATTGGACCCTAAAATTCCATAGTAATGACGTCAATCAATGTTTACATAACTAATCTGGTAGTCATGAAGTTCAAGATGCAAAATTGTTCGAGTTTATGTTCTCTTAATCAATTATTGCTGCTTACTAGCCAATATAAATCATAAGTTTTCAGTTCTTGCCAGAACTGAGATGTGGGTCTCAGAAAATAATTTTAATAACTAACTAGTTATAGCTATCGCTATGTGCCAACGAGCAAAGATTTTACCTATAAGCGAGCTGTTGAATTTGTTTAGAAATGTCATGAAATACAGTAATTGATGAAAAATAGATCTAACTTAATTCGATGGTGCAAAAGGGGCATACAAACACTAACCCACAGCCGGGCCAGTACCTCACGCATGCGCGCAGGTATATCACGCATGCAGTGACAGCCCTTATTGGGGCCCACCAACGTGGAAAGCCGTTGGATTAATGAACGGGGAAAACCGGCGTCTCAAAAAACCCGAGGTGTGTGCAAAGCGGTCTATCAAGCGCCAGCTCCACACGACACATATGGGAGCTGTTCGCTGGGAACCGCAGAGCAGTTCTACCACGACATGCGTGGGGAAGGTGGATCACGAGTTACCAGTAAATTACAGCAAGGGGCACACTCACACTAACCCACGGCCTGGCCTGGCCATTACGTCACGCATGCGCACAGCCATATCACGCGAGCAGTGGCAGCCGTGGACAGCTGTTTCGCCCTTACTGTAACCTGCGATCAGGTGTTTTTTTAAGAGCGGACGAGGTGAGAGGGAAGAAACTCTTCCCGTGAGAGACATAAAGGGATAATAGGGAGAGGGTATGATCTCGGGCTACCCTTACTAGGGCTCATCAGTATGGCATAGCCGTCGGTCAGTGACGGGGAAAACCGTGTTTTTTTTGTTTGTTTTAGGGCTAGTGAACCCAGCCGAGTGCAATGCTGGGCCACCATTAACACTATACCACACACAAACTTAACAGACTTGCCCAAGGGAGGGTGCACAAGCACGCCAACTTCGCCTTGGGAACTAACCCCGCCTACCCTTACACTGACACATTACAAGACAAAACAATGACAAGGCTAGACGGCACAAAATGACAAGTTAAAAAACGCGGGAGGAACAAACTAACTACGACTAACTAAAGCTACCTACAGCGCAAAAACTCCCGCGTGACTCACCACTAGACTGATGGCGCGCTATCTGATGGAAGAAAAGGGCCAGGCAGCAAAGAAGAGAGCCAAACAACCAAGAAGCAAACAAAAAGGAAAACCAAACTCAGAGTAGAAAAGAAAAAACTAGAACGGCCAAAACAATAAAACTAGATCGATAAAACCAAACGACCATCACGGACCGAGCCAACAACACCATTGGTACACCACTGTCTAGCAAAATACCGCTTACGGCGAGAAGACTTGAAACGGCGGAAAAACAAAGGCAAATGGAAACAAAGACGAGATTTAATCCGCTCCAAGACAGCAATGGCACCCTCAGAAAGAGAAAAAGGAAACCCACGTAGATGGAGATAGTGAGAGACGCCTCACCCATTACAACAACAGGCCACCACACGAGGCTGGTTGGGCAATGACTTCACGGGTAACAAGATCCGGCCTACCATTATAAAAAACGCTGGAACACCGAGTGATTTAGTTCACGCAGAACCCAAGAAGACATGTGAACCACCGACGCTACATACCAGATTCTCGAAAGGGCCAAAGCATTGATCACAAGGGCCTTCCCACGAAATTACAGAGATCGCTGACGCCACGACGACAACACATTTTGGACGGCAGTTATACGTGGGCGCCAATTATCCTCCTCAGTGGCAAACGGGCCCAGAAAAACACCAATAACTTTAACCTTAACTGAACTCCACTCAATGACCACAGGCGCATCTGTCCGACCGTTCCAAGAGCCGAGCCATAGACCCTTACACTTCGACAGATTCAATTTCACCCCAGAACCCCGCTCATAAAGACCATATACGTCAAAGGCCGCAGTAATGGCAGCATTAGACGTAACCACCACCGAGGTATCATCAGCATACTGCGAAAGAGGAGGCAAAGACACTGAAGAACCAGGAAGGGCAGCCTGGAAATGTCCGGATGGCAACAAATGTTACAGGCTAAGACTTCAGCTACCATAACGTAGAGAATGGGCGACAAAAGACAGCCTTGACGAACCCCACGTGACAAAGAAAAATAGGAAGAAATGTGACCATTGACATTGACAGCACTCTGCGAGCGCCTATAAAAAAGATCGATGCGGCTGATGAAAGAGGGACCAAAATCCATCGTGAACAAAGTGTCCCTCATGAATCCCCAGTCTACGCAGTCAAAAGGTTTTTCCTGAGACAGAGATATGATGGCCCATGGGACTCCCGCCGGGAAAGAATAGTCAACGACATCACGCAGATAAGCGACTTTCTCCCCAATGAACCGACCAGGGACGCCACACGTTTGGTCCTTATCCACAACTGCGTGCAAAATCTTTAACAGACGACCAGCGATTGCGCGGGACGCGATCTTATAGTCTACATTTAACAAAGATATAGGCCGCCAGTTTTTAGGATCCAGCCTATCCCCCTTCTTGAACGACAACGAAATCACCCCTCTACGCTAAGACTTGGATACCCTCAGTCTGAACCCAAAACGTCCCAAAACTTTACATAAAATTCCATAGGCAGTCCGTCATTGCGAGGGGCTTTCCGGTGATCCATACCTTGGAGAGCCGAGAGACATTCATTCTTCCACCGAGAGCTCACCCTTACAAGACTCAGATTGCTCAACAGACAACCGCGCAGAGAAATTCAGACAAGAGTTCACGCTGAGCAGATCGGTCAATCCCCTCAGCGGAAAAAAGCGAGGAGTAAAAACGTGCAAAGCAATCTACAAGATTAAAAAGATTGAAAATTGTTCCATCGGGCAAACGCAAAGCCGAAACAATGCGATCAGCACTCTGCTTTTTAACTAGACAGAAGAAATAGGAATAGGAGGATTCATCTTCCTCGACCCAGTGAGTACGGCTACGGTTCTGGACACCACGAGCAGGATCTAGGTCCAATTTAGCAAGATTGGACAGGACTGTCTGGTACGGCCCAAAACAAAACATGGCCCAGCATCGATACGCTCTTTCAAAAATCAGCTGGAACCGTAAGAAGATCCCTCTCCTCTCTCTTAGCAGCTGCACACCTCTTACAATAGTCCATAGACAGACGCCTAATTTCACGCTTCCCCTCTTCCCATCAACAATCCAAAGAAGAAAAACTAAACATTCTCGTGCGCCGAAAAGACCAAAAACCATTAATTAGAGACACATACTCTGGGTCATCAAGAACAGACAAATTTAACTTCCAAAGACCAGGGCCAGCGGTAATAGAATCAGGGACAGAGGCAGAAACACGCACCCCAACATCAGAAACAGGTTGTCACGAGCAGGATTGCCATTTGGCGCATGAATGCACGCAACACGAAAAAGCTCAGCCCAGAAAGATACCTCGCACTGTACAAACCGACCATCAACATCTGACATGAACCAACAAGAGACAAACGAGGACGATACAGGACGACACAACCACAGGAGTGCACAGAGCCGGAAGACACTACACAAGAGAGACCAGTGGAAGAAAACCACCTAGAGCACTCCTCAGTTGACGTGCAATGGACCTCCTGCAAACATACAATGTCAACAGGAGAAGGGAGAACCTAAAGCCACTGCACAACACCCGCACGATTATCTAAATCACGTGACCCGTGGTAATTATGGACAGCGCCATCCTGATTTGCGGAGTTTGGACAACACACTCCAGTCCTGAGCGGCTTTACGCAAACCCGCGCTGAGAGCCTCGGTGTGCGAGCTACCAGCCTTATGGACACCAGCACCGTGAGCCCTAGGGATTTTGGCACTAACGGAGGAACCACAGCCCTTGCCAACTGCAACAGGCAATTTAGAACCAGGACTAACAATATTGCCACTAGAAGGAGGATGTGTACTAGGTACTTCATTTTCAGTTTCAATTTCCATATTTCCACTACATTCATTATCACTAAGTACATTATGACTAGGTACTACATTTTCACTTCCATTATTAATATATGTACTAGATTCTTCTTCATTATCACTAGATTCATCATTAGATAATAATCCTTCACTACTAGTTTCATAAGCATTATCATTTATATCCTCATTATCAATATCACTAGTTTCTTTAGAATTGACAATATTAAAGCAGAATTGGAATTTGGTGCAGCGCCAATTGACCCACCAGAGAGAGCCTAACTGTTCGGTTCATCCAACTGATTATCACGAGAATCTATGTGCGAGCGGGCACCATCCGCACTCTCGCCAGGATTGATTGGCGAGCTGCAGGTGAGCCGGCACCATCCGGAATCACAACCGGGGGAACAGTAGAGGTACCCACAGGAAGGATCAAATGACCAGCAACCGAGGAGCCGGCACCATCCGAACTCCCGGCGGAAGACCCAGACACGACATCAAGAACCGATTGGCCGTTACCCAGGGAGCCGGCACCATCCCCACTCCCAGCCACATCAGGGAGTGCATCAGCATCCTCATCAGGGCGCAAGAGCCGCTGACGCCGGACAGGGCAGTTCCGCTGGAAGTGCCCCGGCTGCATACACTCCTTACACTTACCACGCATTTCACAATTTTTGGCAATATGCCCCTTCTTACCGCAAATATCACACTCGAGCTCCTGCCCAACTAGGACACTTTCATACTTTCCGACAAAAACAAAACAAAAAACTCGGTTAACCTACAGGGTAAAAAGACCACCAAATGTGTCCGAAATAAAAATAATAGGAAAGAGACCGCCAAAATGGGAGGGGGCACCTCCATACGAAGCCAGCCAGCCAACTTTGCCAGAGAATCGAACCCTGCCTCCCGACTAGTTAAAATACTACTTAAACACCATATACAGTATATAAGGGCTGCATACAAAAGACAAGAACGAAATAACACACACACCCGAGCCACACTCACTCAAACACTGAGAGCAAATAAACTTACTCTAAATATGACTAAAACCGAATTTATGCTTATCGGATCTAGGCAGAGGCTAAGTACTCTCACAGAGTCCCCGACATTTGCAATTAATGATTAGCAGGTTAGCCAGGTCACTACTGCAAAATCCCTTGAAGTGACCATCGATTACAGACTTGATTGGAGTGGCCGTATCGAGAAAGTGACAAAGAAAGTCGCTTCTGGTATTGGGGCCATAAAACGAATAAAGCACCCTGTCCCTCAGGCGACCTTACAACTAATATATCAAGCTTTAATACAGCCACACTTTGATTATTGCAACATTGTTTGGGGAAACTGTGGGATAACCTTACGGAATAAGGTTCAAAAGCTACAAAACAGAGCAGCCCGTGTTTTGACCTACTCAAGCTATGACGTAGATGCTGGTCACCTTTTCAAACTTCTAGGGTGGAAAAACCTAGCTTGCCAGCAACAATTTCAAAGAGCTACGATGGTTTACAGGTCTCTGCACGGGTTGGCTCCAAACTATCTTAGTTCTAAATTTGAAAGGCGAGAAGTCGCATATAACCCAAGGGACTCTGAAAATAAACTCAATGTTCCATTACCGCGCACAAACTATTACAAAAACAGCTTCAGCTACAGTGGCGCCATTCTCAGGAACAGTCTTCCTTGTAACTTAAGGGAAGCAGAGTCCCTTGGGCAATTTAAACGATTACTCAAAGAACTGTAAGGCACGGCATTCGTGGAAAGCAGCTTTTTTATTTAAATATTTTTATTATATTAGTATTAGGCATTTTTAAAGCTGACGAATTTTGTACCGTGGATAAATAAAGATTATCTATCTATCTGTCTAAACCTATCTCAAGAGAAGAAACCACAGTGCAACCATCAAAGGCAACCGAGGAGAGCAGCGAGAAGGGAGACACCCATACTCAAGCAAAGCCAACTCAGAGCCCAAGAATACCGTAGTACAGCCAACGAAGGCGACCGAAGGAGAGCAAAGAGAGGGAAGACACACACACTCAAGCAAAAAACTCAGAGCCAAAGAGACCACAGTACAGCCAGCATTGGCGACCGAGTGAGACAAACTCGAACCACCCTGAGAAAGACAGAAATGAAAAGAGTCACCAACGACTTTACCGATACGGCCATTAGCTCCCCTATGGCGTTGGAAAAAACGGCGCCTGCGCCGAGACCGAAAACGTTTAAAAAGCAGGGGTAAATAGAGGGACAGGCGACCCTTGTTGCTAGCGATCAGACCCACGGCACTTGCAGGTTTGGACCGAAAACGATATTCATTCCCTTTTGACACCAGACAAAAAACTTAAGTAAGGACAGAAGATAACAGAAGACACGAGGAACACACAACAGCTCATCACTACTGAAACCGAAAAGAACATGACGCACGGTAATAGCAGGTGCCAGAGGAGAGAACAGAAAGAATAGTGACTGAATCCAATCCAGACCAATTTGATCCAGGAGACAGTGGAAGAACAAATGCTCCAGAGTCTCATCAGAGTGACCACAGAGACAATCAGAAGCGACACGCCGCGGGCAACTTTCCAACAGAGATCAATGGGTTTCCTGTCGAGAGGCATGAAAAACAAGGTCTTCCATAATTTGAGCGAAACTTTACCACACAGTGGGGTTGCGCAGGATTCAAAGACAAGAGAAGCTGATAGCAGGATTTGCAGGTCAAGGAGTCGTCCCTGAGTAACCAAGTCTCGGGCAGAACCAACAATCAGGCCAGCCTGAGACAAGGAGCCTTGAAGGGCAGTCCAAGCACGCAAAAGCGAACGATAAAAAGCTGGAAGGCCCGACGCTACCAAGAGGAAAAGAGATGAGGTAGCAAGCACAGTTTGGGGGTCAACCCTAAAACGGCCAAAGAGCCAAAAGAACATCATGTAGGCCCAAGCATTCGGGGAAGTAGCATAACGACAGACCCACTGAACCCACTGAATGCTGTAACGGACGGACACAACGCCAAAACCGCCAGTTTTCCTCCTCCAGGTTGCCATTACCAAGATAAACACCCAAAACCTACATAATAGCAGTGGTCCATTTGGTGGGAAAGGGTGCATCTAAACGGCCACGCCACGAACCCAACCAAACACCCTCACATATACCAAGATTAAGCTTGGCACCAGTGCCTTGTTCCAAACGGCACAAAACGGCGGACGTGTGATCAGCATACAAGGACGGCACAGGGAGGGGAGAAGAAAGACCAGGGAGGCGCATACCAGTAATATCAGGATGACAGCAGACGTTAGCAGCCAGCACTTCCATGGAGAGAACATACAGAAGGGGGAACAAGGGACAGCCTTGACACATCCGACGGGAAGTCTTGAAAGGGTGAGATCTGGAGGTGTAACCAATGGCAACGACGGAGCTGCAAACGTCAGTGTAAAGAAGCCTGAACCACCGGATAAAGTTGTCACCAGAGCCCATTTTAGCTAGGGTGGCGAAAAGGAAAGGCCAGTCAACACGGTCGAAAGCCTTCTCCTGATCCATAGAAAGGAGAGCTACTGGCAGGTTGTACTTATTTGCCAGTTCAACTACATCGCGTAAAAAGGCCACGCTCTCGCCGATATAGCGATCCGGCACACCACAAGTCTGATCAGGAGCGACAACCCTAGCAATAACTTTCAAAAGACGGCCAGCTAGAACACGAGCACAGAGCTTGTAGTCAACATTAAGAGGACTAATGGGTTGCCAGTTCTTATGGCCTAGGCGATCACCTTTCTTGAAAATTAAGGCAATGAGCGCCTCACGCTGAGAGAAAGGCAGGAGGCCAGCCTCCAGAGAAGAATTGAAAACATTAACAAGATCCCCACCAAGCAAATCCCAGAAAGCAACATAAAATTCCATTGGCAAACCATCAGAGCCTGGAGACTTGCTCTTAGCCATGCCAAGGAGAGCAACATGAGCGTCATTCGGCGAGATTGGACCGTCACAAGAAGCGGCATCATCAACAGAAAGAGATAAAATGAGACAGTTAAGAGATAAAGATCGACAGGGCAGGCCGTAAAAAGGTATTGGTAAAAAGAAGCCCAGGACTCGCAAACACCCTCAACATCTGTTACAACCACCCCATTGGAAACAGAATTGCGGAATACAACTATCAGTTCCTCGCTTTTTTCCAACCTTAAGAAGAAACGAGAGGAGGTTTCACCCTCCTCAGCCCACTTAACACGGGAACGAACCAGCGCTCCCTCAGCCTCAGTCAGATCGAAAGACGCAAGTTGAGCAAGAATCCGCTCATATACCGGCATAAGAGATACAATCCCATCATCGATTCTACCCTTCAGATGGCAAACAAGGGCAGAAAGGACAGAGCGCGACAGAGAACGTTTATTATGAGCACCACTACAATGGCGGACCGCAAGACGTTTGAGATGTTCCTTGCCTCGGTCCGACCAATCCTGAAGAAATGAAAAAGAGGGCTTACGCGACCTCCATCTAGGCCAGAAGCCTCAAGCAGTTTGAAAAAAGACAGTCTCTGAGGATGGATACATTCAGTTTCCATCTGCCAGGGCCACGAGGAAAAGATTCAGGGATAGAGAAGCCGAGAAAAACGGCATCGTGATCAGAGAAAGGATATTGAGCAATAGAACAGGAAGACACAAGATAAAGCCATGTAGACAGGAGGCCAATAAAATCGATGGGGGGGACAAGGAACCATCGGGCTTTAGCCAGGTGTAAGCGTAAAGATCGGGATGGAGATGGCGCCAAACATCCGAGTAACCCCAGTAAGACAAAGCTCTCACCGACGGTGACAGCAGGATCAGAGCCCCGACGATCTTTGGCTCTGTCAAAAACAGCATTGAAGTCACCACATAGTATCGTGGGAACAGATCGATCAGCAAAGTCCAGACATGAGGTAAAGAATTCGTCGCGCTCGGGGTTCCGGTTAGGTGCATAGACAGATGCAATCCTGAAGAAGGAACCCCTCCTTCTGAATTCGGCCATCAGAAAACGTCCTTCGAGTTCAACCCAGGAGTTGACAAAAGAAAAGCTTGGGCGGTACAGAAGGACCTGGCCACGAGAGTGAGCAGTACCAAGGGCCGTAACAGTGAGAAAACCAGAGGAGGAGAACCATGAAGTGGCCTCAGCAGCATCAGTAACGTGAGTCTCTTGCAGACACACAAAATCACATGACAAGTGGCTCAGCCACTGCAATAAACCAGCACGCTTAATGAAATCACAGAATTGGAGTAAATTGTGCAGCTGGTGAGGAGGGGTTTCAACACTGGCTCTAATATTGGAAGGTGAGATGCAGTAAATCTCCTTTTGGTTAGAGTAAATTTGAACTCAGTGCTCTGTCGTTAAAAAGGATTTTCTGGGATTTAAGTGGGGTTGGTGTTGTTAAGGAAAGATAGCCAATGTTTCATAGGTCCCCGTGTTCAACCTACATGGATGTTAGATTATAGTCAAAAGGAAATGGTTGAGATAGTGGATAACTGCAGGCAAATATGCAGCTAACCCATCCTATCTTTAATAAAAAGTGTAATAATAATTACTTGTGAAGTGTGTCATTCGTAGTCAGTGGATGAAATGGTAGGAGATGATGCTGCAGTGAAAATAACAAGTAAATGCATGCTGGTAATTGGAGAAAAATATTTATTGTTAAGTGAACTGCAGCAAAGAGAGTGATTGCACTTGTTGTAGTACATACTCACACCTGACAAATAATTGTTTGTAACAATATAAGTGCAAAATTAGCGTAGCTTAGGTGTCGAAATGTTTAAAATCATAAAGGGTAGATACTCTCACAGACTTCCACCTAATTTTGACCTGGTGAACTTATGCAGGAGATCATTGGTAATGAGGATGAGAAAATTGAAGACCGAATTTGGGAGGCAATCTCTGTTTTTCAGAGGTCCAATTCTTTGGAATGACCTCAAAAATGAAACAAGAATTCAAGATGAAGTAGCTAGATTCAAAGTAGCCTTGAAGAAATGTAATCTGGAACAAATTAGTTTAATGAAGGGAACTTGTGTAATTTTAAATAAAAATTTAGATGATTTCTTTTATTATTAACTTGTAATTTTAACTTACGATGCTCTGTTGATAGGATAATTTTAGTATTACTTATAGCTGTGCTAAACTTTCCTCAGCGGCGATGAGCGAGGCGAAAAGTCTGCCTTTCGCAGGCTAGCTTTGCAGCCCAGTGATTACCACTCGATGACTTCCCCAGCCATTTGCAAAATATCTGCAAGACTAATCTAAAGTCCTATTATATTTTGAATTTGTAGAGAAACGGGAAATAAAAAGAAGAAAAAATGGGTTGAAATTTAACGCATACTTTTAAATCAGGCAAAAGCCGAGTCCAATAATTGCTAGATATTGAAATTTGTTTTGCTTTCTTTAAGGTAATGCATAGAAACGACAGCAAATATCATTTCCAAATATTGTAATTGTTAGTGTATTCAGGAAGACTTTTACGTTGAAATCCCGTCGCCAAAAAGTCAGCCTCAAGACAAAACAGAAACACGTAACATCGGAGGGTTCATTTCTCATATATATCCACTTCAATTTGTTTGCAGCAGCCAAATCAAACTACTATTTCATTTTACATTTCATGGCATTTTATGTCTTGCAAACACCATTTCATAACGGTGAGTATAAAATGTTTTTGTTAATTTGCGCGTATAAGTGTCTTTTTCAAGAACAAAGCACAATGATCTTTCTCTACCAAATCCAGTGGTTAATATTCCAAAATATTTCCTGACTGAATAATAAATGCAAGATTACAGAAAAACCAAAGCCAAATAGCTCACTATAATGAATAATAAGATTAGCGCACACGTTGCATAACGCTAAAAGTTTGATAGCCGAAATAGAACTGCAGCAGGGGCCTAGCCAGCTCATGGACCTAAATGCGCAGGTCTACAAATTTTTGGTTCGATCACTCTACCGCTTGTAATAAATGATGTGTCCATGGGGTGAGATAAAATGCATAAGAGGTCTAAGTGTTGGTAAGTTCAGTGCGTACTAGTCATGCGTGTAATTTTCAGGATGTATGAAAATAAAAGTCAGCCAGGCCTACAAAACAAAACTCGTGGGACACGTTTGCGTTTCTGGGGCGTTTTCCAATTCACAAAGGGCCAACCCCTCCCCTCACCCCACAAACAATGTTGGATGCGTGTATCCAGAATTTTTTTCCGAGTTTCAACTTTGTATAGAGTGGTGGGAGGGAGAACTGCAACAAAATTTCGAAAACGCTGCACAGTTTTAAGAGGGAACCGAGGAATAACAAAAAAAATATGAATATTGCGGTACTGTCCCAAGGACTGTCCAGGATTGTAGTCAAAAAGCTGGCTACGCCCCTAACTCCAGTCTAACTCAGTGAGTTCTGTCGCAACGATCCGAGGTGAGTTGCTGTTCCATTGTACAATCTGTAGAATTGCTAAGATCGGTGAGCTCTTCTCCGGCGTCCCAAGTATAGTAGTGATTGTTGAATGTCATGATACCTTTTCTTTCTACTCTAGGTTTTTTCCATTTCCATTGGGTGTGGTTTCAGTGACCCAATAACAATAGCATACAACTCTCCAGGTAAATGTTTCGAGATTTTGGTCACAGGCAAGGAGTAGCGTCACCATTCATGTCACCTATAAACTAGAATGGGCAATGTCCTTTTTATATTTAACCCTAAATCTTAGCTAACAGGGACTGCGTAGTGGTGAGAGCACTTGCCTCCTATCCTAATGTGGGTTAATTAATTGGTTTTCCTCTTCTCTGCTGGTGCTTCAAGACATTTCTCAGTCCAGCAAAGCTTTACTGCGGATTTTTCTTCCTTCTTCAAGTTCTAATTCCATCTAGATAGAAAGTCATTAGGTAGAATACTTTACTTATAAGTGTTTTACGTTTTCCAAATATTAAAGGGTGGCTTGTTTATTTATTTATTCATTTGTTCTGATGTATTTATACAAATGTGGACTTCTGTGAGTGACACATTTTTTGTCGTAAGTGGGATTTGTTTAAGCTATCCCCTGTTGTTTTTCAGTGTCTGGCCGATCAATCATTTGCTGATGCAGAAGATTCGAGCAAATAATAGGTCTACAAATAGTTTATTGGCCTGCGAAACGTAACACTGATGATATTTTGCAAAACAAGTTAATTTAATGGGCGTGCCTCTTTTGTGTTGAAATTAATTACAGAAATGCGGAGCCGTTGTTGTCACCACAGACAATCAGTGGTAGAAGCAGAATCATTTGAGTCTTGATAGTCATGATTCCGCTCGTTTTTGCCTCAATGATTCATGATTCCTACAAGACTTTTTTCCAGATTCAAGATTCAGGAAGACTTTTGAACACCTATTGACTTAATTATTTTCTCAGTGGCAACTTAGTTTCGTTTTGTACATGTATAGTTCCGTTGGCGTTCAAACTTCTCCTTCATACAGACTCGGTATCATCATTCGTTTTGTCTAGATACTGTTTTTTTTTTTGTAACTGGCATGAATATTGGCGTTCCCCAAGGTTCAATACTAGGGCCTTTGTTTTTTCTACTTTACATGAACGATATAATCAACACGTCAACAATATTACAACTGATATTATTTGCCGATGATACAAACGTATTTGTGTCTCACAAGGATAAAGACTGCCTTACTAATATACTGAACGCTGGACTAAATAAGTTGTCAATATGGTTTAGAGCTAACAGGCTTTCATTAAACTTGAAAAAAACCAAATTCATTGCATTTAAACCATCCCAAAAGCGTACAAATCAAACTATTCAACTTTTAATTAATAGTCAAAAAATTGATCAAGTAAAAGAAACAGTTTTCCTGGGAGTAATCATGGATGAAAATTTAAATTGGAAATCTGAAATCTCACATGTCGCCAATAAAGTTTCTAAATGCACAGGAATTATTCGTAAATCCAGTTTCTATTTATCCACGAAAACCTTACGAACACTATATTTTTCTCTAGTCTATCCATATACCTTTTTTACTGCAACTTAGTTTGGGCCTCTACTTACAGAACTAACCTTATTCGTCTTGAGATTTTACAGAAACGAGTGATCAGAACTATAGCTAAAACCACTTTCGATGCACATACTGATCCAATCTTTCAAAATCTTGGTATCTTAAAATTTCATGATATATACTTGATACAACTAGGCTTATTCATGTACTCCTATCAAAACCATACTCTGCCTTTAAAATTTCATTGTAAATTTACCTTACAAAGTCAAATTCATTCGTATAATACAAGAAACTCGTGTAAATTTCGTCTGCCTTTCTGTCGTACTCGAACCAAGCAATTTTCCGTTTTTTATCAAGGACCTAAATTTTACAACACCTTAAACACCAACATCATCAACGCTTCCTCACCTTTCTCCTTTAAAAGAGCACTTAAGGCATTTATTTGTAATAATTATTAGTATACTTCAACAAAAATCTTGGGAAAAAGCCTTTTAATATTCAACATTTGTACATGTAAACTTCCGTAATATTGATTAGTTTAATTTTTCACCTGATATTATATTGTACCCGTCGCCGTAATTTTTATGCCATCTTCGAAAAATTGTAATTGAGGAGGCCTAATTCACATAAGCTCTATAGTTTCTTTTAGGCCTCCTCGCCATCTCTTCCTACATTTTTTTTTTTTCTTTTGGCATCTTTAAGTAATTATTGTAATTGTGTGGCAAATAAACAAATACCTAAATACCTAAAATATTAAGCACCAGAAGAAGATACTGGAAAAGCAAGCTGACTGTCAGCCCCGAACGTACCAATTACTGATAGGGGGTTCTGGGAGCATGCTCCCCCGCGAAAATGTTTGAAAATTGGACTCTCCGAAACGCCATGTCCTGCATTCCATGGATCCAACGCTACTAATTTATATGTTATTTTGTTGAGCTTTCCTTTGAGTCTCGCTATTCATGATTCCCCAGCCGAAGTACAAAGATTCATCATTCCCTAGTTTTTAAACTAAGATTCATGATTCTTACATGTTTTATAACTATGATTCATGATTCATGATTCCGGTTCCACCCACCGACAGAGAAGGGAAAAGTACGAATAAGGACAGCATGTTAGCAGTAAAACGAGCTTTTCGTCTATTGCGCATGAGTAGACCATTGTTACGAAACTGCTATCTGCAGTAACGTAATAATGATCTCTGAATCGATTAAACTTCAGAAGAAAATTGTCTGAATGATTATACTCTTCATAAGGTCCAGAAATTAGGTTTCTGTGATACTTCAAAATATCACTGCTTTAAAAGACAACCACTTAAAAGTAATTATCTCAATTCTTGTCCTGAGTGTATCCACATTCTGCAAGTAGCCCTCTTGTCCTACTCTCTTCCCTCGATCTCTTCTAGAATACGACATTGAAATGTCTTTGTTTAATATTTTGTTAATTGTTTTACTGGTAACATACACTTTTCTTTCAGGCTGTGATCATATAACCAATTTTCCCAAAAGCAAATGCTTCTTCATCAAATGTAAGTTTTAGAATTATTTGCCTCCTTTCACTTACCAAACGATTATGGATATCCACCTGTTTGTATATTAACATCACTTATTTACTGCTTTTCCTTTTCCTTTTCCTTTTTTCTCTTTTACTTTTGTCTTTTTTTATTAAATGTCTTAATTAACGGGCATACTGATACTGTAAACGGTTAATTAATTAATATTAAGTTTATTTCTTTTTAATTATATATTAGATGGTAGCTAATCCGATATTGTCAGCAAAGCTTTCATCATTTAATTTTTTAAAACCGTCCAATTATATGGCTTGATTTGGATAACTTGTCCGTCCAAATCAAGAAAAATGAGCCAATAATAAGCCAGTACAATTGGCTATTCAACTTAGCCTATCGGAGAACATACTCACTCATTCACTCACACTCACTCACTCATTTTCAAGATTGCCTAAATAGCTCTGGAGAAAAATATACAAACAAGGAAATTTAAAAAGATTACCACTCAGAAGAATATCTTAAGACAGTTAGAAATCGAGCGCATAGAATTAGTATCACTAAGCTGCGATTAGGAGTTTAATTTATTCTTTACGCATACAACCTTTTGTTTAACTGATCATTGACAATCTTTTATATGTGAAAGGTTTAAACCCAGGAGTCATTTCAAAAGTGGGTTGAGTTTGATCGTCCTGGTAAACGTAGTCCTGAATAGGACTGTTGTTGTTGACAGTGACTGACGTTTCGACAACCTATGAGGTAGTCATCTTCAGAGTCAAAGTGAGTTGTATCACGTCAGTTGATGGCATTATATTCTGTTTATTGATCTGATTGGTCAATTATGTCGCGATGTTATTGGTCGTCTGTCAGTTAAGCCGTGATGTTATTGGCTATGAAGACTCGTAATCAGTAATTGTTGCGTTTCGATCCGTCTATTGTCACAGTTAAGAGAGTGTCTCTGTAAGAGCGGTCCGGTCGATTTTGCTTGAGACACAGATTAAGCTCATTTCTTGTGTGTTGTAAGACATTCATGTACCTGAACTAAAACCACAATCCGTTTGATCGGATCTCTTTATTTTTCAGAGTTTTACGGAAATTAAATTTCACTCGAGCGAAGGCCTGTCGTGACACTTTTCAAGACGTTAATTTGAGGCAACTTTGACGGACAATTTACAACAAACTACGGGACTCAGCAAAAAAAAAAATACCACAGCCATGTATATTAACTCTATCTTATCCATCGAGGCGACTTTCGTGAACATCACGTTTCAATCAAGCAAACAGGAAGACTTGAACGACACGTTATCTGTTTGCTTAAGTCACACACCCGAAAACCGATCAAATTCAAGGTACATTTTTGAAAAAGTGAGGCGTTCTTAACTGATCCAACTAATATAGCTAGGAAGTACGTGCCATAGAAAAGGTAACTACAGAAAAAAACTTTGCGGCCCGACCTTTACTAAAACTTTATAAATCCGTGAACTTACCTAATTTTCGGCAATCTCCAAGTTTTGCCGCCATTTTGAGGGACTTGTCAACTTGAAGCGTAACAGATATAAATCGAGCAGGTAGATCTAAAACCGCCAGAAATACATACGAAAGCATTCAAATCAACTTCACTTTCAATTCAAAGGGCAAAATTTGAAATTGTTCGTTAAACCTACCATTCCTACATCCCCATGCGACCATTTCTTCCAACAATTCAAACACTACAACTAGTGTTCGAATTTCCCTCGTCGATTCCACCGTAAGAAATAACCTGTACCACCCAAGCTTCGACTCGAATGTGAAGTACGAATCAAACAACATAACTGCTTCATCTTCGAGGCCATATCACGCTGGTATTTTGATTTTCTGATCGACAAGAACGGTGATCAGAAAGTGATCGCCATGTTTACCTCATAAACGTGACCGCTGACCAGCCGCTGAGTGAAAACAGTACGGTGCGGGGTGGTGTGGGTGGCGGACTTATCGTCATAAGATATTCGAATACATGCTAAAAAAGCTTTAGCACTCTTAGTTTAAACAGTGAAGGCATGCTTCGTGGTACAGACAACTTTTATTTTATTCTCGTAACTTTTTCCTTTAAATTAGAACTGGTATTAATTAATAGAGTTATTTAGATATTTTTAACCGAGGTACCCATATGACCTTTTTGCTTGTCCTCAGTGGTATAAAATAAGGTGTCTTTTCTTCCAGAACCTTTTATTTATGCGTTATTGCACGGAATGAACACTATACTTAGAAGGTTTGTTCTAAATCATTTTTGCTGTTCCCAAGAATGTATGCAAAATCATTGCTTTATACAAAGCTGATTCTAAAATATTATTTTCCGTAACAATAATCAATGTCATTTACGTAAGGTGTTAATAAAACTAGCAATATACAATTTTTAGCATTTTCCACTTATAAGCCTGACATACAATTGTCCAGTGAACTATGTTAGTTTCAGCTCATTCCTTGATTCGATGTGACCTTTTATCACTAAACCCTATTCTTTTCATTTGCAATTTTCCTGTACGTTTTTTTTTTTTTTTTTCATACGACAACGACAAAGAGTTTTGTAAGTAAACCGATTTTTTGGTGTACCACGCCTATTACACTGTATATACAAATACATGCAAAAGGCCGGCTAAATAAGTTCACTTGACAATTGTATGTCAGGCTTATAAGTGGAAAACGCTAAAAATTGAGAGTGCTAAAGCTTTTTTAGCATGTATTCGAATATCTTATGAAGATAAGTCCTCCACCCACACCACCCCGCGCCGTACTGTTTTCACTCAGCGGCTGGTCAGCGGTCACGTTTATGAGGTAAGCATGGCGATCACTTTCTGATCACCGTTCTTGTCGATCAGAAAATCAAAATACCAGCGTGATATGGCCTCGAAGATGAAGCAGTTATGTTGTTTCATTCGTACTTCACATTCATGATTCGAAGCTTGGGTGGTACAGGTTATTTCTTACGGTGGAATCGACGAAGGAAATGCGAACACTAGTTGTAGTGTTTGAATTTTGGGAAGAAATGGTCGCATGGGGATGTAGGAATGGTAGGTTTAACGAACAATTTCAAATTTTGCCCTTTGAATTGAAAGTGAAGTTGATTTGAATGCTTTCGTATGTATTTCTGGCGGTTTTAGATCTACCTGCTCGATTTACATCTGCTACGCTTCATGTTGACAAGTCCCTCAAAATGGCGGCAAAACTTGGAGATTGCCGAAAATTAGGTAAGTTCACGGATTTATAAAGTTTTAGTAAAGGTCGGGCCGCAAAGTTTTTTTCTGTAGTTACCTTTTCTATGGCACGTACTTCCTAGCTATATTAGTTGGATCAGTTAAGAACGCCTCACTTTTTCAAAAATGTACCTTGAATTTGATCGGTTTTCGGGTGTGTGACTTAAGCGAACAGATAAGGTGTCGTTCAAGTCTTCCTGTTTGCTTGATTGAAACGTGATGTTCACGAAAGTCGTCTCGATGGATAAGATAGAGTTAATATACATGGCTGTGGTATTTGTTTTTTGCGGAATCCCGTAGTTTGTTGTAAATTGTCCGCCAAAGTTGCCTCAAATTAATGTCTTGAAAAGTGTCACGACAGGCCTTCGCTCGAGTGAAATTTAATTTCCGTAAAACTCTGAAAAATAAAGAGATCCGATCAAACGGATTGTGGTTTTAGTATAGGTACATGAATGTCCTACAACACACAAGAAATGAGCTTAATCTGTGTCTCAAGCAAAATCGACCGGACGCTCTTACAGGGACACTCTCTTAAACAGTCGTCTATTGTTAGCCAAATTGTCAGTTCAGTCGTTCTCTCGTAGTTAGTTTTGCTTGATCTCGTCAATAAGTCGTTTGTACGGCGCTGGTAACTGTTGGCTACGATTCAGTGGCGTTTGTTTTAAGTTAGTAAACCAGCTTTCTAAAGTAAGACGTTAATAGTAGTTTGTAGAATACGTTATACATGTCGCAGAGTCCCAGTCAATTTGATGTTTCGTCTGTAAATGGTGCTCAGTAATGTGATTGTTGACGTCACCATTCCTCGTCGCTCTTTTGTGTTCGGTCAGTCGCGTGCTTAGGTTTCTGCCGGTTTCACCAATGTAAGAAGTCTGGCAGTCGCAGCATTTGATCTTGTATACTACTCCATGTCTGTCCTCCGGTTTGTCTTTGTCCTTGACATTAGTAAACAGTCGCCGTAAAGTGGTTACCTGTTTGTGTGAACCACGTATATTGTAAGGTTGTTGCGTTCGAGGTACGAGAACGCAACCCCTAATTTGTGTTGGGTTTTCTGTGCATTATTGGGTGTCCTGTGCAATTAATAAGGGAGGTTTTTTTGAGATTGCATTTTCGTCGTCGTCGACACACATTTGCCTCGATTTGAGGCGCTTGCTTACGTTTTGCCTCACTTTGACGCGCTAACTCATGTGGTGATTCTTGTGTCCTCGGTGTTCATCTTTCAAAGGTTTGCTGAGGTCTGATATTCTGTCTTCGAAAAGCGTTCATCTTTTAAAAAGTTTGCTGAATCTTCGTAAAGGGTACATCGATCTGTGTTTGCTGAATCGTCCAAAGCGTTCATCTTTCAGAAGTTTGCTGTTAAATTTTACTTTGGATTAAGCCTTTATATTTTTCAGCATGGTTCATCACTGTCTTTGGAAAATGTCTGCGACTCCTGGTGCATGCATCAAGCCTGGTTTAGTTCGGCGGCCGTTGTGCCACAAAGTAAATTTACCGAGTTGTGTAACTCGGTGGCCGTTGTGTCACAAAGTAAATCTACCGAGTTGTGTAGCTCGGCGACCGTTGTGTCACAAAGTAAATTTACCGAGTTGTGTAACTCGGTGGCCGTTTTGTCACAAAGTAAATCTACCGAGTTGTGTAGCTCGGCAGCCGTTGTGCCACAAAGTAAATCTACTGAGTTGTGTACCTCGGCGGCCTTTGTGTCACAAAGTAAATTTACCGAGTTGTGTAACTCGGCAGCCGTTGTGCCACAAAGTAAATTTACCGAGTTGTGTAACTCGGTGGCCGTTGTGTCACAAAGTAAATCTACCGAGTTGTGTAGCTCGGCAGCCGTTGTGCCACAAAGTAAATCTACCGAGTTGTGTAGCTCGGTGGCCGTTTTGTCACAAAGTAAATCTACCGAGTTGTGTAGCTCGGCAGCCGTTGTGCCACAAAGTGAATCTACTGAGTTGTGTACCTCGGCAGCCTTTGTGTCACAAAGTAAATTTACCGAGTTGTGTAACTCGGCAGCCATTGTGCCACAAAGTAAATCTACCGAGATGTGAAGCTCGGCGGCGCCATTTGATCATGACTTGTGATATTTCGGCAAAGGACAAACGAACACTTTTTAATTAACTCTATGTTATTTATTAGGAAAAACTTATAAACCACTCTCGAAGTCACTGAAATTAACACGCTCGACCAAATTACTGGAAAACATTGACGTGAGCCGCACACACATTCCATTGAAGGCTTTGACAGGGTTAGTGCGAAGTCTGAATTCAGATGTGAAAGCTGATCAAGTTGATGATTGGATGCTCTTAAAAATAACATAGGAAATTATCCGAAGAAATGTTTTTGAAGAAAGGAAAAGAATACCGGGTTAACCACTAATCGGCCTTAGCAACTGCGCCCTGTAACTCGCGCCAGTAAAACAAAATGTTCTATATACGATTACAAGCACTTGACACCTTACCATACGATATCTTTTCAAAACCTTCTTATAACTTGATGCACAGTTTAAATAGAGGTTTTGCTGTACGCAACCCTTACCTTCAAAATATACCATAATCGTATTTATCTACATCGAAACCACCCTTCCCCCTCAACTACTACCCGTTACGCCTAACAAACATATCGAACGCACTCTCCTAAGCTCCGATTACTCCTAGTAATACGTGCAATAGTTTCAGAGGTGCCTCCGATGTACGGTATAGTCGCTGTCGTAACAGGGCCAGAGTTGGTCTGAGTGTTGGAATCAGTGTTACTGTGAGTGATCTGTCTAACAAAGTCCGCGTTGCAATTGTTCTTACTAAAAACGTTGTTAAGATATATAATCAGTCTCGTCTTGTAGGCTGTCAGGTGAGTCGCAAACTAGTTGCGCTCGTCTGTCTTAGTCCGGATAGTAGTAGCCTTGTGAGAGGTCGGATTGTACTAAGACTGGTCTAATAATCGGTCGGTATGTGTCGGTTTTCTGTAAATAGTCGTTTTTAGTTTGTTGTTGTCGCGAGTGACCAAGCAGTCTAGAAAAGGTATCTTACCATTTTCTTCGATCTCCTTGGTGAATTGTATGTCAGCATTCTGCCTGTTAAGAGCGGATGTCAGTAAATATCGATCAGGGGTCTGCAAAAGTGAAAAATCGAAAATTCTCAAAAAAATTCACAAAGTAGCACTAGGTAAGCTGTTAACATAAATATAATTTTTACTTTGATCCGATAATTTTAGTTTTAGACGTACGGGGGGTTATCGTTTTCGCGGCTCTCGGACCGAGTTTTACAGGCCCGGAACGGTGTGTCACGAAAAAATCGTTTTAAAAATCAAATCAATTGTAATGCGAACAGCGAATAACTTATTCGGAAAAGTACATAATCATATACAGTTTAAGGGGTGATTTACTCAGTTTCAACGAAAATGTAATATTTTGGAAATTTTTCATTATTTTTAATATTTTGAACGTTTCCGTTCGATGAAAAAGTGGCAAACGTCAAAGCCCAAAATCCTCGACTGGTACCTCGATTTCAGTAAAGAGTCTTATACCACGTTAAAGAGCGTTATCTCTTCTTTCAAAATCTGTTTTCAAAACTATGGGAAACTTAAAAGAGGCCAAAAATTACAATTAGTACTTTTCTGAAATTTGAGCTGTCAACAACAACAACAGTCCTATTCAGGACTACGTTTATTAGGACGATCAAACTCAACCTACTTTTGAATCTTTTATATGTTTAGCTGCTCATCGAGAGGCGCAGAGAGTGGTCAGAAATATAGCACCTTCTATTCCTTTAACTGCAAAAGATGACTATCCATTTAATGTGACTATAAACTGGGATCCGCCAGCTTTCGAAAAGCTGAATCCAGTGTATGTGTACCTGGTTTCGTTGTTCGCATACAGAAACAACAGCTGCGACGGGCGAATAAGTCTCGATCTCGTTAGTTCTCATCGACAGGTAAGTTGGTTAATACATTACAAGTCAAGGTTCTGGTGTTTCATTTTATATTCGGACGTTACTTGCAACTTTCTGGCGCCGGTTAGATCTGCTCCTGGGTTCCTGGGTGGTTCTGATTCGATTCTTAAGCCCCTCTTTCTGCGTTTCGTAATTACCTCCAAATCTAAATCTAAATATGGTTTTGTCGGCAGCATCCACGAGGGATATCACCGCAACTCTAAAACAGTAAAAATATAGATGATAATAAAAGCTAAAAATACAAATAAAATTTATTGTACTATAAACTGCTAGTAAAAGATAACCTAAAGGGGTTTAAAATCTTGCAGCATCCCCGTCAGGCTCTCTGTTCGATCATAATTTCCCGTGAAAAAGCGAACCGCTGTGGTACCCTTTCAGGTGCGGCTTTATCTTTCCAGTAGTCTTGTACATGGTTTCTTTCACTGGACCTGTAACCAGCTTTGAATCCAATGCAGTGACTTCACTGCTCTATCCTACGTCGTTTTAAACTGGAGGCCCCAATCCTCAACCTGGAACTCGAACCGCTACGGTTGATGATTTTACTCATGGCAAATTGGCCTGTTCGGCCTTTTTGCTATTTCTATCCTAGCTGTATCGCAACATTTATTGCGTAAATCTAATGCTTCTAAATTTACTTGCAGGTGACACCGTATATCTCATTTACTTACCTTATACCTAAAACAAAATACAAAATTGAAGTAAGTGTTACAACGAGCCCCCGTATTGCAATGTAGGCGAGATTCAACTCAACACCCTATTTACTCTATCTACCCAACGTAGCAAATTCTAAGTGCTTAGAATTGCTATTACGTTATTTTTCTTTTAAATCTGATATTTTGTCATGATTTCATCTTTATTTGGGTGTGGTTTGGTCAGTGTCATATTACCGACGAGTATAGTTGATTGTCTTGATTTAAGTCTGCCTGGCTGCCTGGTTCCGCTAGAACCCATCATGTAGACAGACATTTCTCTCAGTCATCGTATTCCTAACTAATTTTACAGCTGTTACATCAAGTTGTGACGCCAATAAAGAGTACAAATAAAGATTGTTGTTGTTGCCACTGTAGTCAGTCTGATCTTGGAAATAATTTTGGCCGAAAACAGGCTTAACATAACGATCTCACTTCATCAAGGCATTAACTGATCGCGTGAAACATTTACCCTACGGATTAGAGCCAATACAAATGTACTTTAAAAACCTTTCACTGGTCTTACAATATGTGAATCTAATCTGGAGTATGATTATTTACAGGTTGAAGCATTATTCGCCTATCTCAAACCTCAGTCGCCGAAGAGGCACATAAACTTTACAATACCTGGTTAGTAAACTTAAAACTAACGTACATGTAATACATTTACAATGGCATAAATACCTCTTATTATACGAGTTTTCGGTCCGTACTGTAAATTACGGACCGAGTTTTTTTCTCGCGCGGGCCATAAATCGATGGAAAAAAACGAGGATCCGTAATTTACAGTACGGACCGAAAAAACGAGGCTAATAAGATGTTTATTATATGACTTCTTCCTGTTTGGGGGACCGGAAACAAGTGCAGGACGAAGGATATGACAGTCATTTGACAGGCGTCAAAAAAGAACGTTTTTATTGGCGCAAAAAAACAATAGCACATAGCAAAAGCTTTCCGAGAAAGTAAAAACAAATTCGCCATTTTGAAAAAGTTTATTCGGTCAAAACTATGGGCACTGTAAGTTTTAGCTCTTTAATGTAACGCTGGAGTATTTTGGAAACCGGACACTGTGTCTGTCTAGAAGTCGTTTCCATCTTTCTTCCGTTTGTCCTTGTGAAAAAACACTGCAAAAGGCAAAGAAGCTTTTCAAGGTAAGTTTGTTGTCATTGTCGAAGGATTCACACGTTATTTTAATTGTTTTTGGGAAAACCTCTCTTTCCGCCAGTTTATTCTCGTCCTCAATTGTGATCTGCGTTATAATTTTCAAACACTGGCTAGAATTCTCTTCCTCGGTAAGGTTACGATTCAGTTTCTACAACAGCTTCGTTCTCATTAAAACGCACGGAGCTAGGTTACAATTTGGAAAGGCAAAGTCAACATCCCACTCCTCAGTGTTTTAAATACATATTTCAAAGTTTATTCGGTGGAAACTAAGAGCACTGTAAGTATTCACTCGTTAATGTGAAAACTGGACATTATTGTGTCTGGCTCGAACTCGCTTCTATCTTTCTATCGTTGGTCTTTGAAAAAACACTGCAGAAGGCAAACAAGCTTGTCAAGATGATCGGGTGCAGGTATGTTTGTTATCATATTTGTTGAAGGAATTACTCATTTTCTCTCAGGCAAAACATCTCGAATCTCTGCCAGTCGATTTTCGTCTTCTTAACTGTGTAGTATGATAAAATAAAAAAACACTGACTAGAATCCTCGTCGATAAGATTACGATCGAGTTAGTTTCTTCATCGCGTTCGTTCACAAATAAACACAGTTTAAAATGTTGAAGGACAAAGTCAACATCCAAGTCTTCAAGGTTGACAGGCGTCTTATGACTTTATTTAAACCTTTTTTCCGAGGTAAAGAGATTTAGAGCTCCGAAATGAGCATTTTCTTTAAAAATTTTGGTCCGTATAGCAAGTTACGGACCGCAAATTGACCAATCGCATGGCGAAAACAGACTCAGCCATATAATAAGACACCAGATGGTACTTCAGTAATTTTTTGTATCCCTCAATGCATCAGGTTTAGTTTCAGCTAAACATCTAGAGAGCCACTGGAGTATGAACGACAGCCTTATTTTACTGCTACTGCCAATTCAAAATAATAGCAATTCCGGGATTCTTCTAGAAAGTTTCAAACTGCAGTGTGCTAAGACCTCTGCTAAGAGATTGTTTCCCTTAAAAATGTTTGCTAGATTGAAATCAATCTAACTGCATTTCTTTTCTTTAAGATATAAATTTGGAGGATCTAGAGGTTCATTACAAAGGTACACAATTCCACCTTTCGTCAAACGGGAATAGCTTTGATGTTAACATTTCCTGGGACGAACCAACATTTAACAGGAAACTGACAGGCTATCAGTTTTCTTACCAAGTTGGATACCAAAAATCGGTAGTCAATGAGACTGTAAGTACTTCAAATTAATTTTCTTTTGTTGTTCAATAAAAACAGTGCCTGAAATAAACATAGTGTGAACAGCGTATAAATTTAACCTCTAAACTGTACTCGATCACTTCTTTCCTTAAAGGAATACCACACGACACCACAGAGTAGCTCCCAACACCCCCCCCCCCGCCTTGGTAAAAAACTAGAGACATTTAAAAAGTGCTTCAACTGTTGTATTGATTAAACAGTAATGTTAAGCCATTGGCTTTAATTTCCTCCTCCTAAGTTTGCGTTTCTAGTTCTTTTTTGTCATAATTAGTTTGTTCTTTTATTTTTATTTGGAGAGAAAGTAAATCAACAGATCAGAGTTTCGGAGGATTCTATTTTAGGTCCCTTAAGAGGACTTAGGCCATTTAAGGAGTTATTTGTGATCATCCTGATTTACACTCGACCAGCGCGAATCGTCTTTGTTCTTCTGTAGAATCAAGTAAACCGTCATGCGATCGTGTTAAAAAACCTGGTAAAATATTACCCAAAGCTCCGGAAAACCGCTAAGGAAATGTTTGTTGACGAATAACAGCGACAAAGACATCACAACAATACAAGGGGTGAAAATAATTTTTGGCTCACCAAAAAATCTTCAGTCAAATCGGCGCCATTTTCCTCAGCTGTAATACAAAAAATGAATTCGTACTCACGAACGCATGATCGTTTGCTCGGCCAAATTCATATTCTACAGTAAACAGTAAACGAAGGCGATTCGCGGTATCAGCTGTAAAATTTTCCCACAGTTGAGGTCACAAATAGCTCCCCTGCACCCTGTGTCAAGGGTGAGAAAAGGGTATGCTCTAGGGCTTTCAGTCAGCGTGTGGAAAGAAAACTAAATAATATAAACCTTAATTTCTGATTTGACGATTGATCTTTATGGTCACTTTTTCTTTTAGAAAAAGACTTACTTTGATATTCCAGAGGTGTTGCATGGCGAGCAATTTGCTTACCGGGTAAGATTTACCTGTAAATCAGTTTTCGGATGATAATCTATATGCGGTGCCCCGGGATTTTGTAGTGATCAGCTACCATGGTTTAAGATGATATAACTATGGTTTGACTATGGTCGGTTAGAAATATTAATGGCACATGCATATTAGACTATAGTAAAAAAATGTACATGATATGACATGATCAACAATGTTTAAGGCAAACGTCAGACCAGACATGGAATCGCATAGATAACAATACGTGACCATGGTCAAAGGAACACGTTTAAGCCCACAAACTTTCCTGAAATCATTGGGAGTTTTAAAATTCTAATCTTTGATGAAGTCACAAAATCAAGAAAAAGGAACTATAGAAATAGACATTTGTCATTGGAAATTACTAGGCCTAGAAAAGAACTCCATTTAATCGCTTATTAGTAAAATATGTTATTAGTAAAATCCAACTAGTGGTCTATTATCAATGCTGCGTTCTGATTGGTTGAGCTACTACTAGGCTATATGTTATAGCCCACTAGTAGCGAAAAGCGTGGGGTTAGGGTTAGCTTTAATTATAACTAGCTAAAATTTTTTTATTCTCGATATTTTTGGCCAACTAGTTGGATTTTACTAAAACAGTTATTCCTCTCGCCCTCATGGCCTCTGAGGCAATAGCTATTGACTCAGAGACCATTCGGGCTCGAGGAATAATTGTTAAATATTGTTCATAATTATGGTCCGTGCTTTTTCACTGTGAGCATCAGGGTTTGAGGGAGGATTCAGCAAATTAAACAAAATTTCGGAGAAGTAATCTCTTCGTTCTGAGAGTGTTGCCACTTGTGATTTTCCCCAAATTTTATTTACAACAGTGATGTCTATAAGAATCGCTGAATCTTATTCTATCAGACCCTGACAGTCCTAATACAGTAAAAAAACAACAACAACATCAGGCCTCAGGTTTGATTCCTTTCAGGTTACTCCCAAATACGACCTGTCATGGTTAAAAGGAAAAGAACAACTTGACAGGGCAACGGCAGAAGGTATCAATGACAAAACTCAAAACGTTCTCAGAACAGTTATTTATAATAAGTAAAGATAGTCAAGCTTTACGCTGTACATGCACTTTTTACTCTTTATACATCGACAATCACCTCTTAATAACGATATCAAACAAAAATTCAATTCACGGATAAATTTTATCAGGGAAACGATAAACAATGGCAGGGCGTAAAATATCCCAAACGTTCAAGAAATACTGATCCAGTCTTTCTTTTCTCAACTGCAGAATTTGCATTTTTAACTCGAGTATCTCTATTTCTTGCAACTCACCACCAATGTCACCGCTGTTTTTGTCTAGTAATCGGTAAAAACACTCTCTAACAAGTGCAACGAACAAATCCCTTATTTGAGATTAAAGCTATTCACTGCGTGAAATGAGTCGTGTCATGGTCCCGATATTAGTCGATACGAACCCGTATTCTTGAGAAAAACGGAAGTATGGAGAGGTATCGGGTTCCGGACACGCAGCAAATACATCGAGTATCAGGACCCGTATTTTTCCTGAATCGAACTTTTTCCGCGGCATGGAATATCCGATATCCGGACACATCATTGAAACGCGGCGTGTCAAGACCTGTAAACGTCCTTATTTTTCTAGATTTGCCAAGAATCATGGAGTGCCGTTGATGAACGCCACACTTTTTGCCTCTCATTTTCACTAAAATTCCACGCTACGGATTGTGTTATCCTAATATATACTCCAAAATATCTCTATTTCTTGCAACTCACCACCAATGCCACCGCTATTTTTGTCTAGTAATCGGTAAAAACACTCTCTAATAAGTGCAACGAACAAATCCCTTATTTGAAATTTTAAAAAGCTATTTTGACTCCATTTATCATCATGAAAATGTATATGTCACAGTGACTAGTGTGATAATTTTAATTTGCACTTCACTGTGTCCTGAAAAGCTGAAAAATCCGCAAAGGCAAGTTGAAGAAACAATCAACCCCAATAATTTGAACTGTTTTTCGTTTCCCTACAGAGTTCGGGTTATCAGGGTTCTACTGTATTCATTATTTAATGATAATAATAATAATACTAATAATAATAATAATAATAACAACAACAACAATAACAATAATAACAATGTAGCTATCTTCCAAAGAGCCACACCGATACATCTTAGATTGCGACAATATTAATGTAGCTGAGTAGGTCCCAAACCCGCTTGAACCAAAAACACTGTGATCGTCACTTCGATTAACAAACAAGACAAAACAAAGATGAAAACATTTTAAAATTTTAACACAAAAATTACTGAAAATCAATTAACATTTCATTTATCACCTCAAACAATTTCTGCAGATTTTGTCCGCAACTGGTCATACAAATATTTGTTTTGAATGCCAACGTCTAACCACAATTGTCAGTGCGGATATCAGTGCGGATAAAGGTTGAGATCCGCCTCGATTATCATGCAGTGTTTTATAATTCTTTTCCAAAGTTTTAGTGCTCACTCATTGTCCATGGGCCTGTTTCTCGAAACAGAAACATTTTTGTTTTCTGACCACAAGAAACCAAGAGAGTGGTCGCCGACGAACTGTCGTCAGCCAACGAGACATTTTTGTCTCCTTTTCAAAGGAACTTTGCCCTGATTGACTAGTTTGTATAGGCGGCTATTTTGATTTCTGGCAATTGATTGGCTCAGACCAGCTGTCCTATTTTTCTTAAAATAGGACAGTTTGCCTACTCATAAAGAAAAGTCCTGTCTGAAACTATCCAGATTAATCCTTATTTGGACAGTGGATAATACCTTTGCTGACAATATCGGATTAATTACCTTTTGTGCTTTTAGTTCCACCGGAAGCCGACTTGAAGGTGCAAAATATAGAAGTCGGCGAATTTGTACCAGAAAAAGGAAATGGCACATTCTCGGTGAGATTTTCGTGGTCGGGACCAGTGTTCAACTATACTCTTTATGGCTATCACCTTAACTACGAGCTGATAGGATACAAAAAGCGTGCAATAAAGATCAGAGAAAACAGGGTATGAAACTTTATTGAGTTCAATCAGTCATTAAGTTAAATCCTGAAAACAATATAAATTGCTCCGAGCTTTTCTAAAAACCCTGTTTAGACCGTGGGGAGCTTTAAGGATTCACTCAATTAAATAGGAATATAACTTTTTTAACCGTTCCATACGGCAAAGTCAAGCTTCTATTTTTTCTGGTTAGCCGATAGTTTAGCCATGATTATTTCTCAGACCATAATGGTTGATTCTGTCCCGCCTTTGTTTTCAGACGAACCCAGGGCTGTACTTATCTGAGATAAGACCAAAGGAGACGGTTAGATTAAAGGTACGATTAGCGAATAAACTAAGATCACCTCAGATACAAGCGGGACCGATATCATTGAGATATACGTCTTGTAGAATAGTAGAGATGTTTTATTTCCTTTGGGGGGAAGGGGGCAGGAATCTCATTTAGGAAGGCAGAAATTCATTAACGTCTATTACGTCATAGTGTTTAGCTCATGAATGAAATGCGAATCTCATTTAGAATGTACTAGTTTTAGGTTGTTTAGCTCTTTGGACAAGTTCTTTTTTTTGCTAGGTCGATAAATGGCTTGTTTTCTAATTGCTTGACTAAAACCTGAATAAAGTATTCATATGTTGATTTATTTTGTCGACTGAGGAGTAAGCACTAACTCGCACTCCACCACCAGATTTCTATTGTTTTATCATTGCACCACCATTACCGCCACAGTATTTTATTGTTTTAATATCGGCACCACCACCACGTCTCTTTTGTTTTACCAAGACCACCGCCACCGCCACCACATTTTTATCGCCTTTCCATCACCACCATCACGTAAATTGTTTTACCACAACCACCACCAAGGTATTTCTATGAATTTACCACCACTACCATTTTTTATCACTTTTTATCGTTTTATTATGACCACCACTGCCACCACCTTTTTATTGTTTTCCATCCACCGCACCGCCATTGCCACCGCCACCGCCGCCCATCACCACCAACTCTACATAATTTCTATTTTTCCTTTTACAACCATTGCCACCACCACTCATAGCCGTGCAATTTGTAGTAGCGAGACTTAATTTCCTTATTGACCCAACAACAAAGGGCACCTTGCAAGGAAAAAACGCTGAAGCAGAAAGCATATTGAATACCTATCATTTTTGTACTTACATGGAAACATTTGTTATATTTCAGGTTACACCAATGTATGAAAACAAAAATTTACCGAAAATAGAAAATGAAGTAATGGGAACTGCACCAGGTTAGATAATAAGGACCTTAGGAAAGCATTGATTAGGTCTTGGGCAAACAAACCTGAACCTTGAATGCAGTCTGGCCCTTTACCGTTAACTCGAACGAAACAAGTAAAGGACAAGTCAAGGGAAAGTCTTGGTCACGTGGCACGAACTTAAGTTTGCCGTATGGGGAAAACGTGGTTATAAATGGGGACCTTGAGATACACGCCATTACCGTCAACGGGTGCCGGTTACCCTGGCACAAGTCCCGGGTAATTGCCATTTACATGGGAGAGCGGGAAAATCCGGTTAGGAAATCAAATGGTTTACGCTGTTCCGTTCTGTGAAGCATTACAAAAGATGGGCTCTAATTTATTTTAGGCGAAGCAATCTTTTTTCTCTATTTCGACAGTTCAGGTGATTAGGATATACTTTGTGGCGCGGCGTTCCTTCCATTGCGTCAAATTCTATAGTTTTATGTTTAGGCACAAAATTCCCGCCCCCTAGACTGCCAGTAGAATGTTTGGTCCCCCCAATAATAGAAGTACGTGGTAAATTGTCGCCTACCCGTACCTGTAAGCAGAGACGGTGTATCTACTTGAGGCTCCTAATCTCTCTATTATGTCTCCTCAACTTCCAACTCCAGTACAATATACCACTTACCCTAGCACCTAGAGCGGAGCTGTTAAAGGTTGTTGGACTGAAGAACAAGCAACTAGTTCCTGGTTCCTTTACCTCATTCAGCGCTATAGTAAGATGGGAGAAACCACTTTTTACACAAAGTAGTATCAGCTATTACGTATACAATACTGCCAAGGAAATGAAGATTTCAATTGTTAGAAAAGAACCAAATAAGAAAATTTGACATTTTGACGGTACCGTATGTAATACATTTAACTCTCGTCCAAACAGCGAAAACATAGCGATGATAAAATCAGTCAGAATCTTTAAAATTTTGGTTTCATTTCATCTTCGGGGAGTAGGTTATCAGCGGACGGTCTGGTTACCAGTCTCCAATCTGCTTTAGCGGTTAGCAGTGTACTGTGAGTTTCAAACGTCGAGCTCGTCGTGCGCGTTTAACCATAAAGCAGCGACGATTACTGAATTTAACATTTCTATATAAATTTGAGCAGTACTCTCTACACTAGAAAATAGAAGAAGGGGTTCAACTGTATTTGTTGTTGCTCCTGACCTTTGGTGCGCATGACATTGAGAGAATATCACTAAAAAAAGACAACTGTTGGAAAGCCCTCAGAGACTACTTTGGATTCCTGAACGACTGTTAATTGCCGAAATGTGCCTAAGGAAGAAAATAAAACCAACTGGAAAAGATTTCTTCCAGTTACTTACTTTTTTTGCTTGAAAATAATCCCTTTTCATAATTTGATGATGGGTCTCAGAATAGATTTTTTTCCGAAAACCTGAGCTAGGATCAAAATTATGAGATCTTTTTGTAGAATTCGGTAAATTTCGTTCAGTTGTATTTGACCCCAACCGTCGAAATTAATACGTCGACTCAAACTGTGAAGTAAATAAGGCTCATATGGAGTATGGCTCGTAGCCTCATCTCTCTTCATTACCTAACCGAACCGCTTGAATTGTGAGTAATATCAATGTATACTGTTGTTTAAGTCTTTCCTTTAGTTAGATAACAGATCAACGGCGAATATCTACTAAACAGCGTGCATGTTCAGGAATATAGTAACTATGGAAACTAGTCACCGAAGAGTAACCGTAACGCAAAGAAATTAACACATGGAATGTCTTTTTAATTGGTCTATGTGTTATGAGACCTTAGCCCTTTCCCTAAAGCTCTAAGACTAGTATTATGTACCCTTATTGTAGCTTCGCTTAGTTTCCTATAATAGAATATTAATCGACCTTTATAAATTGCATCGCTTGCCTACCAAAGAGGAATATGACGTCTTGATAACTTAAAGTGCTACTACGATCAAAATTTAATGTCAAGTTTGTTACAAAAACGCTTTCTTTTCAGCTTATCATAAGTGGCTGTACCTGTTTCGGTCATTGAAGTGAACTTTGGCGCCCTCTAAGTGAAAATATTGAGCTTGAAAATGTAGGTTCTTCGCGTCCGCCATTACAAATTTATGTTCCAGTGACAAAGCTATTGTTCTCTGATTGTGACGTCATTTTCTGAACGCGCAAAGAAAACAAACCTGAACCGTGAGAAAACAGCGAGCGATTCTCAAAGCTTCGCTCGTCTTCGCCCGATTCTGGAATTGTGAAGGAGGAAATCATAGATTACGATGACTCTGTAGAACCAGCACCGACTGAATATGAGAAAGTCAAATACTAAGGGCGGTTAGCTTCAGAGAAGGAAAAAAACACACTTCACCAAGTCGTATTTTATGCAGTTTGTGCCGACGGAGATTCGGACTACTGGTAGGTGTATTTGTATATGTACTAGCTATAATAATAATACACAGGCAAGACGATCGAGAGTCCGCACCAATTTCACCTGCCTTCTAGCCACTCTAGAGTGTTCATTTATCCAAGTGTAGATAAAGTTTTGCTTTATAGCTCTTCAGGCACAGCGAATCAGAGTGGGTACAGTTTTCTGTTCCGCTAAGTTTCAGTTCTAAAGCAGCCAGCTCGTTGTCATATGCATGTGTTTTTTTTACCATCCTAAACGAACTGCTGTCCTTTATTATTGAAAATTTAATTGTTACTTTAGTGTTGCGTATCTGAGCTGAGGATTTTAGATCTAATGTTAAGTTCTCTTTGTCAGAAAAGTTAATTTACTCATTTTCAATACAAATAGATAAATAAGGGGATCGCTCGCTCTTGATTTGGTATATCAATTTAATAATTTTCAGTGCTGACATTAAAGACTGTCACATTCTTTGTAGCTCATGTTTTTTTGAAAAGGCTGTGTCTGCCTATGCCTTCCCTATCGATTGACTGCAGATCATTATTGCAAGTTATAAATTGCAACGCTAATAAAAATTCAGAGATTTCTCCTCATCCAACTATTGTCAATGATATCCCCTCATAACTTTTATAGATAACTTTATGAAATTGTTGTATGTGACGTTTTTTAAAATTTATTTATTATTCAAACCCAGGTGTGCATTTTTTGGATGCTCTACTGAGACCAGCTTTGAAGCTTTAATTTGGCTAGACAAGAAAATATATACAGTGGAAGGGTTAATACAGACATGTTATGATGTCTATATTATCTGGGTGTCCATATTAAGTTAGCTCTCTGGAAAAAAGTGACAGACACGTGATTTATTTGATATATAGCATAAAGGAACAAGGAGGAAGAAAGGTAGGAACAATGACTGTAGCAAAAAGCCAAGGACGTGAAACTTGTTGAGCAGGAGGCAGAAAATTTACCAAAGGACTACAAACAGGGGAAGAAAGAAAGATGTATCAAAGTCAAATGTGTCATGCTATTTGGCTGCAGATGTTTTGGTAATAAAATCTTATTAACCCATGAACTTGGTACAATGTCTACAATTGGCACATCATTATGACAAGAAAAATAGAAAGTGCCAGGGTAACCAGTGTCTCTAAAGCTGGATTAAGAATATATAGGAATTTTTGACTTGAAACACAGAAAAGTGGTTGTTGTCCAGATTAACTACTGTGCGTACTAAGCCGGTTAATGTTAAAGAAAAAATGTATGCTTTTCCTCAGGACAAACAAAACTGCCTGTTATATATGGGTGTCCAATTAAGTGGGTGTCTGTAGATCATAGAGTACTGGGTTATCACTGCATTAATAAATTATTATTATTTTGCAACTAACTTTATGTATTGAAAAACTAAATGGTTCAGTACATCACTAGGTTGCACGATTCTGCTGATAACACAGTGTGCCATAAATTCACTGCCTCTAGGAAGAAGTGTTACACAGTGGAAATTATGTTCATCATGGAGGCCCATCCTTGATTGTGCTCTGTGGGTTTTTCTTGCTGGGTTTTTCCATTGTAAAATATTATTAGAAACTAGTATTTTTAAGAGTTAAAACCCCTAAGAGGGCCTGGGAAGCGGGCTGGTGACCACCTACATTGAGGTGGGGGGAGAGCAAATTTGGCTGTTCTCTCTTTGTGGCTGTTTAGAACTGTCAGATTACTGAACCTTTCTTTAGTCATTGTTGAGCAGAGTCATGTTCATAAATTTCAAGCCGCTGAAAAGTACCTTTCTCCTGCTGAGCGTGATTGCACATGCTAAATCCACCATTAGAAGTTTGCAGATCATGATATTACACTGTAGGTTCCTGTAATGCCTTCATTTTGTCTAGCATGTCATTGAAATGTGCCAGAGACCACATCATCAGCTGATATAATTCATTTTAAGAAACCGTAGTTCATGGAGTAGTCTTCAGATTTAATCAAGAACCTTCATCAAAAAAGACTATTCCGCATTGTTGCAAATGCTACATAGCTTTGCTGGTTTGAAAATGCAAAAATCTAGGACGATTGACTTTTCAAAGGCTTACCGCGCATCAGACTGATGGTATCAAAACAGACCAATAATAAATTTAGATGCTGGAAGATTCTTATTCCAACAAAGATACTATTCATATGAAAATGTGTATTACAATGGAACCTCTATAACTAAGTCCTCGGTCTAACAAACTATTTTTTTTACTCCAGTAATAGTAAAATATAAGGCAAAAACACTTTTTGCCAGTCCCTTGGCCCTTCGTTATATCAAGGTTCCACTGTACTTAATTTTATTTATTTTTCAAAAAGTGGGGAAGCCCCTTTGCCCTGCGTGGGCCCTGCCCTAGCTTGGCTCAGGCTAGATAATACCCCCAAAATAGACTATGCTAAATCAGGCAACAAAGAACAATAAAATTGCAGCCTTTAAACAGTATTACAGCCCTTGGCTTCTTTATTGTAATCACTGGTATGACTAAAAAATAATGGATTTGTATATTGCACACGGTACGTAAGACCTAAACTTGTCCTCCAGGTTCTTAGCTGGGGCCTCACATTTATCTTGTGATCAACAAGTGTGCAGATCAATTGTTACAGTAGGGTGGACAGTGCCTTTGTATGTGGTAAGGGGTCATGAAGCTTCCTCATTTATAGGAATAACATTAGTCTATCCCATATTAAAAGATACACCAAGGTTTTTTGAAGTAGCAAGGCTGTGCTCTAAGAAAAATTGAAAGGAGCCCAGTGCTCCGGACCTGTGAAATCCTGGGTGCACAGCACATGATTTCTATGAAAAAATTTCCTAGTTGCCCCGGAACAATAGTCAAGCACCACGGGCCAACTGGGTGCTGGTAGAGCACAACCTCGAGTAGTGAAACATAAACCAGCAGTGATGAGCAGGGGCCATGAAACTCTCTCATACATGTACATAACCCTCAGTTGCAGTAAATATTTCAGTGACCAAGCCTTGGTGATTATTCATTTTTAACTTGCAATCTGTCAGTCACATCACTTCAGTGATTCAGTGCATGAGTGCCCCTGTGTTGGAGTTTACATCTCAAATTATGATATACTATAATTATAATTATTATAAGTATTCAATGCGAGATTGCAAAACTTTTCGTTTTTCACTCAAAAGAATAACAATACACAACATTCAAGATAGGATCACAAGTTTGTTTTCAAGACCACATCAGTAAATGGTAATAATTCTTGCTGTATTTTACAAAATTGCAAAAACAGTTTTTGCAATAAACTTGTGTGGGCTCTCTTGCTTTAGCTTGTGGTTTGAACTGACAATGTGTCTGTGCAGTTTAAATCAGGCTCTGAGTTTTGGGAATACTAAAATTGAAAAAAGCATACCTTTAATTTGTTTAGTGAGGGTTATGGCGACCAGCATGTTGGAAATACTAAGGAATTTACTGTATATTAAAATATCATACCATTCAGATTGCACCTTGATCCTGATAGATTTTAATACTTTATAATAAAAATTTACAAATAGAGTTTTAAAGCTTTTTATAAAAGCTCAAAGGAATGTTAATAGTGGTAACAGAAAAAATAGCACACAACAAGAGCAAGGTGTGAGCGATAATAGTGTTTACAAAACTAGAGGGCTCTCTGTGATCTGTTGCCTTAGGACAAATCTTTTTGAAAGTTTCCTAAAAGTTTCGTTGTCGTCGCGTTCCAGTCGAAGAAAGGTCTAAGAAAAAAATTTATCTTCGATGACTTCGCCAGTAGTAAAAGCAAAAATCACCACCGGCGATATAAATAAACTTAGCGTTGGGGACATTCACTGCAAGTTTTGCGAACTAAAGCTTACCTCCATGCGCTCCCTCTTTATGCGAAGATTTCTTTCCGGATTCAAGATCTGTCGATTGATCTTTCTTTCATATGCTAGCAAACGATCCAAGTTTAATTTTCCGCCACTGGTTTGCGTTGAAAGCCCCGTAAATGCTATTGCAGCACTCTTCGAAGTTATCAAACCAAGAAGACAGCGAAACTGTCAGCTGGAAACAAACCTATTCCTCGAATCTCACATTCAGTTGGTCAGACTCGAGTGCAGTTCAATTCTATCGATTGAAGCGGTTGCTGCACACATACGGAGCCTAATGTAGTAAGATCGAAAGAGTCTTCCTAAACAAGAACGCATCGAAGTGGGAGGAAAGGGAACATTATATTGTTGAGCAGGGTTCTTGGAAGAAAATTGTCACACTGTGTGTACTGCGTTAAGTAAATGACGTCACAAAGCAATTGCCTTGTGTTCTTGGTAACCAGGCCACAGGAACATAGCGTTTTAATGGCGGACGAAAATTAATGGTTTTTGAGCGCCAAAAAATACCACTTTCCTTAATCGTATGAAGCTATAACTTGCACACCATGTACTTCAAGTCCTAAACTGCCAATCTAGCGAAAAAAAATGGTAGTCAAAGATTTGATCGTAGTAGCACTTTAAATTCCAACGTTAGTGATACTCTATGTTATTTTATCACCAGAAAAGAAGGCAGAACGGGTCATTAGGGGAATGGATTTCATTTTTACACCTGGTGCAATTACTGGGCTTGTGATTGGTTTTCTGCTCGCGGCCCTTATTTGCATGATCTTTATTTGGCGTCGCTGGAGAAAACAGAAGATTTTAAGGAAACAAGGTCTCATTCCAGGGTAAAAAAATACTTTGTCCTCGCTGTAAATCAGAAAGATCTGTTTTGCTCTAAAAATGGGGGAAAGCTTTTTGATCGGGCTGGTTTGGCTTAAATTGTGCTCAAATGGCTCCAAGAGGGCCGAGCTGAATCAGACACTGGCCTGTAGAGCTGAACTGACACTTTTGGGCGGAAGCAGATCTTTTTAATCTTCAATGTTTATAACCTAAATTAGACGCGAGGAAATGAGTCGGAGAAAATCGAAGGACAATAAAATTATGAAATTAAGATTGTTCAAAAGTAATACTGCATTGGCATAATGCGAAAGCTTCCGTTGAGCTATAGTTAATTGGTGACTGAGTTCTTATATAAATATGAGCAAAACATTTTGTCACTTAAACCATACAGCTCAAGATTTAATGATAGACCCTTTAGCTTCAGAATCATTGATTCATAATTTTTGTCTTGTACAATTATGCAACGATAAAAGTTGAATTAAAAGGCACACGTATGTTTATGGTATATGTTATGAAATTTAATCGAAAAATTAATTGAGACCTCTTTATAATATTTGTGGTCTCAATAAATTTTTCGAGCCAACAACTGGATTAGTAAAAGGGGTTGTTAACGCTTTCAGTGGTCACCAATTATGACCTTTATAACTTTTTTAACATTTCAGTACAACAGCAAATTCTTACCTCCTTATTTTTTTACAGGAAAAACGGTGTGATAATTGATCACTGGGAGGTAGATGGAGACCTTGTTACCCTTGAGAATGAGATCGGAGAGGGAGCTTTTGGTAAAGTTTTCAAGGGAACTCTAATCAAACCCACCAGCTCTTCACCCCAGAAGTTTTGTTTGAAGCCGTGGAGGAAAACTGCTAAAACTATCAATGGAAGTGAAACATACGTGGTTGCAGTAAAAATGCTTCATAGTGAGTACCTGTTGTTTCTGCTACTAAAAATAGATATCTTGTAACCTTCTTGAAAAGAATTGAATAGAAAAAATTCACTTTTATTCTAATAATTACGTTTCTCAGGCTTTAAACGCGGCTTCAGCTCTGCCTGATGTAAAAGTCTCGCTGCTAAAACCAGACCCGAACCAAGCCAAAGAAAGACATTTTATTATTATAATTGTTAATACTTAGTTTTCTTTTTGTTTTAGACATGCCAGATGAAAGTGTACGGCAAGACTTTCTCGACGAAATTCAGTTGATGAAGGCGGTGGGGTCACACAAGAATATTGTCAGCATGGTCGGCTGCTGCACTCTCGAGGAGCCTATGTTTTTGTTAGTTGAATATGCCCCGTACGGTGATCTCCTACACTACCTCAGAAAACATAGGAAAACGGTATTTATCCCCTTAAATACTTACATGGATACTTTATTATACTCCGTCCCTAATCAGGGCATTTCAGAAGTACAGACAAACGCATTTTATAACTGTCTTAAAACCAATTAAAATATGAATGACATTAGAACTAAAATATTTACAAGCTAGTCTCTATTAGTATATACTAAAACAATGGATAGTGTTTTCCGCGCGCTCTGATTGGCTACTCAATCAGTGAATATCCTGCACTATTCACTGATTCACCTCCAGTTCCTCCGAGCGAGCGACGCCAAACTCGCGTAAGTTGCGAGCAAAATGCCTTCCCGGTTTGCTGCCGTAAACAAACAAAGAAATTTCACAACTAATCAAGCAAGCTGTTTCCGAAATACACGAAGAAGGTGACGAAGCTCGGATTGGAAGTTTAAACAGGTAAAGCTTTGTCTTTTTGACACGAATTTATCGATAAAACCGGTGAAAAAGTTTTTTGTTTACAAATGCAAATTAAGTTTAAGCCTTGCGTTACTTTATTTAGTTGAATTGTTCATAAATAAGCTCAAAACTAAATTTAATAATCTTTTGTTATAGAATGATTTTAAATACAAAAAGAATTCACAACTCCTTTTGAAGAAATTTCCCCGCAAGAGCTAAACAAATGCCTTCAAAAGTTTTAATTGTCGGCAAGAAAAAGCGACGGCGGCGGCCGCCCGGTCATTACGCGCCAAAATTGTAATCGTTGGCAACAGTGCTTGAGTTAAAAATCATTATTTTTGTGCTCAATTATCTCACTGTTTTAGTATATACTAAAACAATTGTCGGTGGCTAGTGTCGGTGGCTAGCCACTCAGTGTCGGTGGCTAGTCGTGGATATTTACCTCACTGCTTAGCAGTTCGGTAAATTTCCACCACGACTAGCCACCTCCACTTGGGTGAATAATTGTTATTTATGCATATGCATTACACACGTATTGTAAAGAATTATTGTAATGCTAATTATTAAGAAATTCTTCAAGCAGCTTTTTCGCAGCAGTGCAAGCTTAAAAGTTTTATCGTCTTAGCAAAGTTTGATCGAGCCTTAGGGCGGCATTCTGAAATGAACGTTTACCAGTATTTGTTTTAAAGATCAAATGAACCAAAATTTCGACCTTTTTTATTTTAGTTCAATTCTAGTGAAACGTGTTTAATATGAACCAAATAAACATACTGTGAAGTTTCAGCTCAATTGAAGCAAGTATCTCCAAGATATTCGCAATTAAAAATTACTGTTTTTTGGCCCTTATCTTCGTAGAGCGGTCGGAAAAAAACAGCTTGTGACGTCAATGTTGGTCAGGTGAAAAAAAGCGGGAAATTCAAAACAGAATTTTTCGAGTCGACTTGGCGCAGAAGTGGTTTGTGCGGCCATAAACCTGGAAAGAACAGGCAATTTGTCTTCAAAAGTTGCAAGCTGTGGTTATAACCTTCTTATTATTTAATTTTCGCGAAGAATACATCATAGTAAAACGGACTTTAACGACATTTACTAATTTCCTTGAGTTGTCGTGGAAATGTGCGTGCGTAAGGGTCCGATTTTTTTCAAGATGCATTCACAAAATGTGTTCATATAAGGAAGTTCCTGGATATATAAGGTCCGGAGCTCCACCGTGGACACAAAAACAAAATATGTTTGTATAATAATCTGTCCAAAGAAATTCAAGTTTGCCCACAATGTGTTTGAAGTCACTGAACTTTGTCGCACTCGAGCCGATATTTTAAAACCCACGCTCGATCGGACCAGGATCGGACACTTCTAGCTTCGCAGATCACTAAAATGTAAACAAATCCTCAATGTAGAAGTTTTGGCGTTGATATGTCGGCAGAAAAAGAGTTAATCTTTATCTAGTAAATCTTCCCCAAGATCGTTTTCAAAGCAACCATAGTTTTTTAAAGTTGATGGTTTCGCGCAGATTAATTTTGCTTTGTGTTGTCAAGTTGAACATGCATAAAACCTGTTAGAAACCTACGCGTAAGTAAGATTTCCTTCAAACAAAGTTAAGTTAAAGTTACATTATTGCAAAAACTTCTTTCCAGTTATGTATACCGATTGAGGTCACTTTAAGGACCATAGACGGCACTTTAAACTGGCAAAGAGATGCGACAAGCAAAGAACAATTCCATCATGCATAAAATTCAGCTTAAGTGAAGCAAAAAAAAACTTCAATAAGGTTGCAAAGCAGCAAATTTTCATTAAAAAAACATAAGGCTTAAGGCTCCTATACCTGCTGACAAAGAAGAAGTGAATTTTCTGTACGGAAACAACCTACCTAAAGATCTTAAAAGCAAAAGATCAGTTACAAGCTTCGCAGCCAAGCCATGATTCCGACTACTTAGCTAGATTAGCTATTTTGTTTAGTAATACTGGTCCATACGAGGGTCTTCGTTCAAGCAAATTAAACTCGACAAACTGAATCATTAGAAAATACAGAAAACTGCACATAAGGATTTGCTTTGCTCGCTTCAGTCAAAACCAGCTCCAGTTACGGGCAAAGAGTCGATTGTTTTGGAGTCACTGCCGGCAGTTGTCGTTCTCCGCTACTTCACAGCGAGTGAAAGGAAAATTTGCGTACAGAAAGATAACAAAACTATGTTATTAAAACTGAAAAAACTAAAGGAAAAAAACTCTGACTATTATTACTTGAGCAACAGAAAAATGATCGAAGTAGTCGTTTCTTCTCGAGTAAGCTTGCTGGCCTTCTAAAGTTCCGAGGACGTTTTAAGAGTGATTTTCTGTAAGATTCGAACTTTCGCCTGACACGGCATCTCATAGATTTGGCTGATTTTTGGCATGAAGTCTTAGAATGGTGCCCTAAATACTGAATGCATATTCTTTGGTTTGAATTCTCTTTCCTTTGGAAGATACAGAAATGACGGTTTGACGGGGCTTCCGGAGGGCCGCCATATTGGCCGATTTAGGGAGTTTTTAAAGCATTTATTTCGGCCTTGGCATAGAATTAAATTGTCCATAACTCGTACAGCTAAAAAGAACTATCCTTTAACTTTGTATTTACGTACATTTAATTGAAAACGGTTCAGCATGAGCTTGGAACGGTTGAATTGTCTTACTACATATTTTCGGTACTCGGAATGCAGACAAATTTAGTAGAAATTGAAAAGTATATATCACCCATGCCACATCGAATTAGAACAAACCACCTTACCTGAATGGAGTTTGTTTATAGGCAAGTTAGACCGATGAATAAAAAAATTGGGCAAATGCCATGGAGAAGAAATATGTTAACATCAATGTGCAATGATTTCAGCCCGGCCATTGCCCGAGTTTGCCCTCAGTGACATTTACAAAGCAAATCGGTGAATTTTGCTCGAAAACTTCTTTAATGAATCTTGCCTCGTCCAGGTTATTATCTAACGCGAAATAAAACTTCACTTTTTATGGAAAAGAATGGTGAGTCTTTCCCGATTTTGCGTCTGTATTTTGCGAATATAAATATTACACACGTTTGATTCACTCACACGCAGTCATGTCATGCTTCATCATGTCCGCACTAGTTCAACATTATTTCCCACTATATCATACTGTTTGCAGTCAAATACATATAATAACCAATTTCGTCTGCAAATAAAGGTAACACAACCTTTGCAAAATTTTAGCAAACGCTAACTAGATTCAACAATGTATAAATACGGCTTTATGCAAATTCCTGCACAGTGTTCGGTACGAGGAACAATTTTCTAAAGCGGCTCTTCCCCTTCTAGTATATTTTTCCCGCCACTGGACTTAAAGTGTAATCAGTGAAAAGGATTCTACTAAGTGGTATGAGATTTAAAAAAAAAAACCAGCTTATTAAGTCAACTTACGTGATGGTAACATCAGCACTGTATGAAAGTCCGTAAGTTATTGCGCACGACGAAACAATGATATCTTGGGAGAAAGAAATGCACGCTGGAACGCAAGCAGGAATGAACATCCTTTATCAGATGTCAACGTCTTCGTGGGCTGTCAGCTCTTCCCGTGCTTTCAGTTTGGAAAGAAGGTAAGTGATTGTTTTTTCTCTAACAATGACATTCAATTTCCCTTAATTTTCGACAAATCCGGTTATTTTATATCAACCTGGAATTCCAGAAAATCACAAGTCATCTTTTTCAACGAGGAAGTGCTGTCACCGGTTACGGTGAAATTTCACTTACGGGGGTTTTCATTAACGGTGTGAGATTAACTACAAGCCAAGTGAAATGCATGTTTAACCAAGTTTATTCCTTAACAGAAATATGGTCAGATGTGGGTATGCTAAATTTGTTAACGGGGTGGCTTGTGGAGTAACTATTGCATCAAGCGAGTGCTTGACGTTAAAGCAGTGTTCCAGAAACATCAAACCCCATTTAAGAGGACTGAAAGTGGTGGATAAAAATCTAAAGGACGAGATACAGTTACTTTTGGGGCGAGCAGGTAAGGAATGAATATTTTATTTTGATATAGTTAAGTACATGACTGAAAAATTTTAACACAAAATTGGCACGAGTCGAGCTAGCCCGGGGCGAGCGTAATTTGGCGCGAACATTCTAGGCGGGAAAATCACACCTTTCCAGGAGTAGCTGTTGTCAAAAAGAAATGATTTTACAAGTCTTGCGGAATATTTAGAGGCTAACTTTTACGAGTTTCTTCTGGTAAACGCCACGTGACTTATGTTCTGATCTTTTTAAAATCGGCGCACAGCGGCAAAAATGTTATTCCGGACTTGAGAGCCTTGGGTGCTCTTTGGCTGCGCGGTACCTCCCATGCGACACTACGGTTTAGTATGGAGGGATTTGTTGCGATTCTTATTCCTGGTATACAATGTTTGCGCTAGGCACTACGCAACCTAAAGTATAGTAGTGCCCATACCTAGCTAGTAAGTTTGAGCGTGAGAAAATAAGAATGATCGGGTGGAAGAAGGCGGTGGGGGGGGGGGGGGAGGGGTGGAGGGCAACCAAAAAATCTTTCCGAGAGCACGCCAGCAGATTAGCATTTCTCGTTCTAATTTTCAAAAGTGATCTGCAAAACCATTTTGAACAACCTAATCTTCACCAACCGATTCCGTGGGTTAATATATTTATATATTCTTTTTACTATATTTTGTAGGTTTGTTTTCCTCAGAGGTAGAAGCTGAGAAAATAACAATCTGTCCCCGGCATCGCGATGTGTATGGAACTCGGTGGAAGTGCAACAAAAGACGATGTGTTATTCCCAGCGTCATTAGCGGTCATACCGGTATACCACCTCCAAAAGGTGACCGAGGAGTCACCTTTTTACAAGCAGAATCGATATTCAGTGTTTTGGGGGTACTAGTACCAATCGGAGTACGTAAGTATCACTAAATATAAGTAAAATTCTCAGTCAACGATACTTTAAGTACGCTAAGTTACTGCTTTAAGTTCGCTACGATCATTACGATCGTCAACGGCGCCCACCTTTATTCAGTGATTAAAGCTACATTTCTGTGATAAAACTGGCCTCTTCATTGAAATACTAGCTGGCTTTATTAGTAACTGTTCTAACATCTTGTTAAGTCATGAAGTCAATCCAAGGGTCTGGTACTTTAGAGCAATCGTCCTTTCTTTGCCACGTTTCGCTGTCGTTCGATTCCTCTTCAGTCATCTACGTACGTTACTTCTACTCTTTTCTACCTTTCGCGGCCAACGAAAACCAATTACATGAATTCTGAGGATTATGATATGAGCAGTTATTTCGTTATCGTTTATTACGTTTGGATCAAGTGTTTAATTCTGGCTTATATTTGCCTATTTTGATATTTGCTTTTTGTTTCTTTTTCTTAGCTATTTGTCGACAGTGCAGAGACAAAGTAAAAAAAATCTGTCAAGAAGAAAAACTAACAAATTGTCAAGTAGACAGTTCTACAAAAAAAGTCCAAGAGAGAACAAGCAGTTTGCATGCAACGAAACAGTGCTCTGATTTAAGCATCGACGATTGCGATAGAAAGGAATGTGAAGGAATTTATAGTGATGCTGATGTTGATGACGGCGTTAGGGATCTTTCTAAATTCCATGCGGATGGCAACAGCATTGAGGGTAGCCTTTATAGTTGTAGTAAAGGCGATGACATCTGCAAAGTTCAAGTGCCCGGTGGCGTTGGTGATAGTGGTAGTAACGATTGTTCGTGTAGCGATGATAATTTTGGTTGCAATAACGTTGGTGATGAGAGAGATGTTGGCGTTGATATTAATAATCAGGAAGATGACGGCTGTGATTATGTTTGCACTCTGGCCGCTCCAAATGACACTGTTAGTGGTCGGGATGATAATGGTGATAGTGGCGGAAATAGTGGTGATAATGATGTTTGTTGTGGAGACACTAGTGGGACCGATTGTGGATATAAAGGCAACTCCCTGGTAAGCTACATTTGTTTTTCAGGTATCTGTTTCTATACGAGCTACATCTTACCAATTTGAAAAGCAATTGACTTTAACGAGTTGAAAATTGAGAAAATTTTAGCCTTTCTCCCCTGGTTACCAATGATTAAAATTTCTAAAACTAAAACAACTTATTAATTAAATTTGCAGGTTCTTTCACCCATAGAAGCTGAGAGAAGAAAGTTACAAAAAGTCGAAAAAGAAAGAGTAAGTCTCGTTGCAGATGCGATGAGATCGCATGTGGTAGAATTTAGAAAAACTCAGTTGAACGAATTTCTTAAAAGTTCTGGCTTAGCTCCAGTTCGTAAGGTAGACATGGGATCACCAACAGCAGCAGAAAGAACAAGAAGAAGAAACATAGCTGAAGCATGCCAAGTTATGGTTGCTGTTTTGCGAGTACTGTCACCAAATTATCCCTGTGAACTGTGGCTAAACGTAAAGGACTCTAACGACATGTGTGAAGCTTTAGAAGTACGTAAAGAGGTTGCCTTAAGAGAAGATGACGTGAAGTGTCTGCGAGCGCTTTCTGAATCATACAATAACGCCACAAGTGCAAATGTTAAACTGCAAATTCTTTCTATAATGGCGGATATCACCACGTTGCAAGAAATACGCAATTACATTCCAGGCCTAACAAAATATATGTTTTGTCAAGCAAGACAACATATTTTAGTTTCTGGGCGAGGAGCTCCTGTAATTGCAAAACAAAGCCCGAGATGGAGAATCGATCTTAACCAGTTGGATCACTTCTTGGATTTTATTACCAGTCCCTACATCGTGCAGGATTTACCATTCGGTGAACGGTTTCTGAAATTGTCGACTGGGGAAGTAGTGCAGACACCGAATGTTATCAGAGTATCGGTCAGCGGACACATCATTGACCAATACGTACAGTATTGCAACGAAACAGAGGTGAAACCTCTAAGCAACAGCACATTACGACGCATTTTATCCTCCTGTCAGGCATCTACGCGAAAGTCCTTACAAGGTCTCGATTACTTTGTTTGTGAGGGTAGCAAGGCCTTTGATGACTTGGAACAACTCATTGGGAACCTTGTTGACAGTGGGTTTGACGCACGTACAGCGCAAAACTTACAGATGAAGTTAAAGGAGGGAAAGAATTACGTTAAAACGGATTTCAAAGTAAGAACCTATGGTAATATAATTATTAAATGTGTAATTCCAGAAAATGTCCATACCCCCCCTCCCCCACGGAGGGCAACGGAAAGTCTGAAGGGAGGTGGGTCCATAAGATAGCAACTTTTGAGGGGGTGGGGGTGGCAAGCTACTAGTGATTTTACTCTCAATCGGTGTTCCAAAGCAAATTTTTTTTGTCATCGATGATCTTTTATTTGCAGTCTGCTGAGTGCTTTTTTACAGCTTGTACGATTTTATATAACAATTGTCGTCGGCTCGTGAATAAACGTCTGGTTATCTATGGGTTGCTTTGTTGCACAATATATCGCGGTATTCAATATAATGTGGTCATGGTGTATTAATAAGCTTTCTTCTAACACGTTTTTAACTGAAAAGAAGTAATTGAAGTTCATTGGTTTAAGAGAAGGGAGTATGACAAACACCCCCTGAAATAGAGATTCCAGGGGGTGCGGGTCTAAAACAAAAGTGCCCTCGGTGAGGGTATGGATATTTTTCTACCTACACAATCTACCATGGCTTTCGGCGCTCCTGATTTGAAGAAGAGTGTACTTTAAAGCACACTGTTTATAATGACGAGTGGGAGTGATACAGTGGGGAAAGTTTTTTTTTTATTTTTTTTATTGCGAATTATTTGCCAATCCGATCTGTCAAATGATGCGCTGTCAAAAATAACATTTTCGTCATTGTTTAGTGTCTCTGTCATATTTTATGTATATTCTCCAGAATAGTCTGGTCTCGCTTAATCTTGCTCTGAGACTATCTTGCTTCTACAATAGGTTCACGTTTCCAGCTCTTCGCGCGTGTCAGATCACTGTAGCCAATATGCACTAAGTGACAGTAAAGATCCTGCTTTTAGAGGTACCTGCACTCAAGATCATGACCTGATATGCAATCGCTGTGAAGACCTTAAAGCTGTTCTGTCCGACACCCAAAAGTCAATTCAGGAATCCTGCTTCGAGTGCCAGTATGATAAGGAGGATGCTCTTCACAGATTTCAAGAAGCAACTCGAGCAATTCAGCTCTGGAAGTCACACCAACTCAGACTTATTAATCAGGATAATGCCCGTATAGACGTCATTGAATGCCTCGATGACAGCAAAGTGCTCCTTGTACAAGACTGGGCTATGAAATTTCTCCCTCGTCAGTACCGAGAATCCCAAGGAGAATGGTTTGCGAAAAAAGGGATCTCCTGGCACATCACTGTAGCGATCAGAAAGAAAGAGAGTGAACTTGAAACACAGGCGTTCGTGCATGTAGTTGAGAAGTGTATCCAGGACAGCCCTTGTGTTGTCCAGTTAATGGAACATGTTCTTTCTACTCTCAAGAGGGAACATCCTGAGATCAAAAGCGCCTTTTATCGCCAAGACAATGCAGGCTGCTACCGTGCAGCCAACACCATCCTTGCCTGTAAAGACATCAGCCAGCGATCGGGAATCTTCATTCAACAATTAGACTTCTCCGATCCACAAGGAGGAAAGGGCGCTTGTGACCGTTTTGCAGCAACAATGAAAAACCATGTACGCTCTTTTGTTAACGAAGGTAACGACGTCCTTACAGCAGAGCAGTTTCTTTCTGCATTTACCTCACGAGGTGGAGTGTCTGGAGCCCGAGTGTCTCTGGTACAAGGCAACAGTTCTAGTAAAACCAATGTAAAGTGGCCAGGAATCAGCAAGCTGAACAATTTTGAGTTTAGCAGTGATGGAGTGAGGGTATGGCGAGCTTATCAAGTTGGCGAAGGAAAGTTTTTCCCTTGGTCAGAATTTGAAGGTACTTTTTATCCTCTCTATCTATCTCTCTCACTAACTCTCCCTCTCCCCTACTGCTACTCTCCTCCACCCCCCCCCCCCAAAAAGACTTTGCTTCAATCGTTTGAAAATTGGTGTTTGGCTTTTTTTATTACAGTGGGCACTGTTTGATATTAACTATTTTATGCTTCAGGAACGGAATATCCTATCAGTTCAATGACGAATGCCACGTTTTCAAATGGAGACTTTCGCCCCATAAAAACCCGAAAAAAGAAACACGAAGTTCAGCAGGAGACGTTAGCCGACGTCGACAGTGAAGAAGAAGAAGAGGAGACTGAGGGGACCGCCTCTGGGAGATTGTTTTCTTGTCCAAACGAAGGGTGCGTTCGTGTCTATACCCGTTACGGATCTATGGTCAATCATGTTACCTACGGAAAATGCGACTTCAGAGAAGAAAGAGAATCTGTGATGGACACTGCAAAGGTCTTGTACAGTAAAAAGCTTTGGGTCAGTGATGGTCGTATTTCAGCTACAGCAAACGTCCATTGCAATCAAGCAACATCAAGCGGCTTACACCAGAACGAAGAAGAAGGCTGGGCACTGAAATCGATCAAGAAAAACAAACCTTTCAGTGACAAACAGAAAAAATTCCTAGAAGAAAAGTTCATGGTTGGCGAAACGACGGGAAGAAAGTTGGACCCTGTAACTGTAGCCAGAGAAATGAAAACTGCTCGCCAAGATGGTAACGGAGAGAGACTTTTTTCTTCTTCAGAAGTATTGACCGCGACCCAGATTCAAAGTTTTTTCTCTAGAAGGGCAAGATGTGGGAGATTTTCCGAAAATGACCCAGAAAATCAGGAAGCTGTCCAAGTGGAAGAAGAACTTGAAGACTTTCGGAGAGATGTAATAGAGCAAGTGCAACCCAGACATCCAATCATGTATGATGTCCACAACTTGTGTGATCTTGTAGCTTCAGGGAAACTAAAGAAACTCACATTACCGAAGCTGAAGGAAATCTGTAGCGCTTTTGAGCTGAATCTTCCTGAGGAACGGAAGAAAGCCCCTTTTGTAGATGCTTTGACCAAATTAGTTAAGAATTGCTCGTGTTGGTCCTCTTGAATGACAAATTGTATCAAATCTCCACAAATGTGATTAAGTCAAAGCATAGCAGTCCCTTTACATGTAAGTTGTGCAATGAGGTTACAATAAGCTTGGACTTAAGGGAGTACTCCTGTTTTTTGTTTTTTTTTGGAGAGGGAGGGGGGGGTGAGGGGTGATAGAGGTATATACATTTGCCAGTTAGTTCTCTAATAGGCTCAGAGGCACCTTGTTGTAGTGGTGGGCTATCTGGCATTTGTCTTCTTATTATTCACTTCATATCTCAACAACCCTCAAATCCTGTATTTTCCAATTTTCCTGAAATGTTTAACACCCCCTCCCTCAATTTTCATACATTAAAACCCTTCGAAAAGTTATTCAAAAATTTTTAACTTTTTGAACATAGGAATCTGAACGATTATTGATTCATTTTTTGAATGAATGAAAACCAGCACTTTAAACCAGAGCCCCCATAGGCTACCTTGAATCCATTTTTAATAATCCTTTATCTCGCGAGGAAAAAAGCGAAAAAAAAACAAAAGTTAGTTGAGGGGAGACTGGTGAGAAGGCCCTGCCGAGAATCGGTTCGTGCTGTCTTGTCTGTGCTTTTCTTAGGCTATTTATGTTCACACTATACCGAGTATCTCTTCATGCTGACACGAAAAGCTATCTGGAAAAGTATGAATACCTATCCGATATGTGACACTCCACTTTATAATTTGGCGCAGCAAAGCGCTTCGCTCCGTTACAGAAATCGCGCTGAAATCACTGTTCTAATGCGTGAGCAAAATTCCTATCCATATTTTTATCGTGTCGGCGCAAAAGGTATCTAGTGTGAACATAGCTTTAGCTTTAGGTGTGTAACAAGGTCCGGGCGTTCAGTGAGAGGGGCGCCCTTGGCTGATTTTTGTCCTTACATCTCTGTGTCGTCCCTCTAATCTGAAAGCCTGGAACAGACTATTTCAGGGTGAAAAATTAGAAAGTAATGGCAGTAACCACTTGTTAGGAATGAGGCTACCATCCATAGTAAAAAAAAGTAGTTTATGATTTCTCGATTGATACATGTATTTTGTCGAACGACCCGTAACTGATTGATTATGACAGGGTTGAGGAGATTTCAGTACCTCTGGTATCTACCTAGCTCAGTGAGGCTTCCTGATCCATAAATATGTAGGGGAGGGGTGTGTGAAGTAAAAGTAAAGAGAGCGTAACAACGTGCGGGAAACAAAGGTGTCGTTGCAAAGATTAAAAATAAAAGGTAAAGCATCACAAATTATGTTACATAACTTCAGGCCTTTTTTAAAAATTTCTATTTCATGTATCGATGTTGACCTACCCCGAGTTGTCCTTGGGAGGGGGGGGGGGGGCGTGTTAGTAATTTGGGGCGCAAGAAAATCTGAGACTCTTTTCGTTGCTTTTGTAGGTTAAGTAATGCAATTTTTCACTAAGTATAAATGTCCAAAATGATTACAAATAATTTTTCTTGGAGAATTGCTGAAAACCCTAACATTTTCATAAGAAACTTCGAGCCACGATTTGGGCTGAACGATCAAAAGAACTGTACCTTTGCCACGCCCAATGTGTGAAAACCGGAAATAGTGATGTTCATTTCAGACCCTAAATAGTGATGCTCATTTCTTAGAGCGGGAGCGTCAAGAATATAGGAAAGGAAGTGTAGAGTTAAAGGAAAGTTGATTCCCATCTCACACCACAAGGCAAGTGGTTTTATTTAGCTTTAATATCTTCAAAAACTAATTATCTGGCTTTGATTTGAGCGTGATAATTGCGAGCAGTTGTTGTTAGGTGTTGTTGTTCCGGCTGCTCGAAAGCAGGAGTTGTAACGCCATGCAAAACTCAGTTGAACGTGACTACCGACGTTTCGCAGAGAAAATGCCGTTTTGAGATATCTCTGAATGTGGAAATTGTACATCTTTATATATTTTGTTTCAATTTTTCTCCTTTGTGATATCTTTCAAAAGTTTTAGTTTTGGGAAAATTACGATTTAGTTCCCACGTGGGGACGGTACCCGTAAATGCACAAGCAACACATTTATATTTATAGTTTACCATTCCGCTGATAAAATCCGCCTTTTTGCAGTGTTTCTGACAGCAATTCTGTCACTGCCATTAAAGAGGCCATTTTTGATCTACTTTTTACTCAGATTTGGACAGAAATTCTTTTATTTATCACTATTTTTGGCAACATCAGTGAGCATTTGTGTGTAATTTAATTAGCAAAGCGACTAGAACTTGCTGCCCATTTAATAAATTTCTTTCTGTCGCGTTGCATTTGCCCAATTTTTTTATTAACGAATTCGATTTGGCTACAAACAGTCAGTATTTAGGCAAAGCAGCAAGTTTCAATCCTGTGTGGCAAGGGAGATATACGCCTTTGGAATGTTGGTAATTTTGAGAGCATAAATTATGCAAAAAGTGTGCACGACCGAAAGTTGAGCCAGTCTTAGCGAAAACGCTGCTATGTACGGAGTAAACTTCAAAATTATAATAAGGAAGGATAGTTTTTGACATGTATCTCATCAGTGATAGAATTGCTTCAAAGACAGGCTTGTAGTTGGATTCGTAAAACCTCCTTCGATTTAACCAATATGGCGCGGGGCCGAAGGTTCCCCAAAACGGTCAAGTTGGTAATTTTCAAAGTAAGAAGATTTAGAACCTAAAAGTATTCATTTCTTATTTAAGACCCAAAACCAACTTTACATGCTAATTTTCAGCCAATTCGGTGAGATAGCGTGGCAGCGACTTTTCAATATAGTTCGAATCTTACAGACAATTGCTCTTAAGCGCTCAAGTTTGTTCACTCGCAAGCGTTAGCATTACGGTTCTTTGACATAAGACAAGGATAAATTAAGCTGGTTCTGCAAAGGTAAATAAATCTGGGCATGTAAAAAAAACTAACCGTAACTACTAATAACAGAATACAAGCGGGTTTTAATTCAGTCCGGCGAAAGAAAGCAAAGAAGTGGACACAAAATCAATTCACAAATCGAATGCACAATTATCAGAAAAATACAAACCTCTTTGGAAATGTTCAAAACGTTTTATTCCTCCTCAGACTGACGGATGATCTGTTTTTACTCTAACATTGGTTGTTCTGAATCCAAAGTAATTTTCAAGTGACGAAAAAACAACAAAAACAACAACAAAAGAAGCCTTTACAAGGAGCAAACGTTCAAACGTTCGCACCTCGTGAATTTCATTCAGTCTCAGTCAGAACTCTCACAGAAAGAGACAAACAAACGCAGGTGATAAGGGATGCGCAGAAGCTTGCGCGGAACATTTTTCCGCCCTGAAAGACCAACATTGACGTCACGTAGTCTCCAGTCTATCACGCGGCCATTTCAGAAACGTTTTCGTGAAGTTTTCGGAAATGCTCGGATTTTGATCTTTTATCCGTCTATTAAGGCTTGGGAAGAAAAATCTTTACCCAAATCTCACTTAGGATGGTTCTTTTTAGTGTTTGGTGAAGGTCAAGTGACAAAAGAAAATATGTCAATTTTTTGGTTCATTTGACCTTTAAGTAGCGGGATATCCAATAACTAAGAACTCCTGGTTTGGCGGTGCAGACATGCTGGATCGTTTTACAAAACTATCTGCTTTCCATTTAATGTTTTGAAGTGGCTTTGCCTATATGCCAGGGAAAATCCGAGGTGAGGAGAGGGGAGGCGGTAATTCCTCTTTCCTAATTGACACATCCTTGGCAGGTTCCTCAGTGTGAAAAACGTGGACGTTCCCATAGGAAACGGCAAATTGATATAAAAGCTTGATTCCACAATTTTTATCACCACCGTGTTTTATTATGGATATGTGATTACGGTCTTTGGGACCAAGAGAACTCAAGTTCTTACGACAAAAAATTCTTTGATACCTTAAAAATCAGTGACATCCAAGCTTTCAAGGCTCTTATGAACAAGCTAGTCAATGCATTAAAAGAAACAGATTAGTGTTGCTTATAATTAATACCGCACCTTGTGTACAAAAATTTGGAGCGTATTACTTAAACTAAATAGTACATACACCATTTGCACATCTCCCATAATACACCTTAATTGCCCCTATTCTCCCCCCCCCCGCCAAAAAAAGGGAATTTCTCTTATATGATTAATACAGCTGTCCCAAAAGGAATTGAAAACAATCAATTAATTTTTTGGCAAAATATTGGCGGGTAAACAAGGTGTATTATGGGAGACCCAATGAAGTGCCGAGTTGGTTCATATCCTTCTTTACGTGTTCCAGACCTTGCAAAAGTCAAACAAAGAGCTTGGATGTTCAATCACATTCACTACACCAGACGAGCAGATAAACAGGATAAACACTGGCAGGGAAACCAATACAGTCTTGAAAACGGAAGATCAGGAAGAAAAAGAATACTACAACGAGGAGATTTTGACCCCTGGAAATCTAATGGCGTTTGCTTGGCATGTTTGTCAAGGCATGGTAAGCAAGCCACCAATCTTAAGCTACTTTTCTGAGAAAAACGTTCGTCCACTAGAGAAGAAAACTGAACCATCAAACTTCTTCTAGTTAGCTCAAATGGCTTGGTTCCGGACCGCGGAGCTCTAGGCTGAAGTATGTTTCCCGGCGGAAAGTGCTAGTTGATTGTTCTGACATCTGCAAATGATTGAAAACTTTTTTTGATTTGTGGTCTCTGATAAGCTCCTTAGTGTAGAATGACGATAAACCTAGGGTTCTTTTACGCGGTTGTTCCACTCAGTTTTACTTTGCAGCACGTTTAAATTTCTGACATAAAATGTTTTTTCCACTGTGTAAGGAATACCTGGCGAGAAAGGGATACGTTCATCGCGATTTGGCGGCTAGAAATGTACTTATTGGAGAAAAGAAAATTGCAAAAGTGTCAGACTTTGGACTGAGTCGACACGTGTATGAAAAGAAAGTTTACCATGGCAAACGAAACAGGAAACTTCCTTTCAAATGGATGTCAACAGAAGCCATCTTTGACCAGACATTCACTACGAAGAGCGATGTGTAAGATTACTGATAATTAGCGCACATTAACTAAATATAACGCTTTTCGAAAATAAAGAAAAAACTACAGATACTCTTTCAATGCAAAGTTTATATGAATCAAATATTTAAATAGAGCGAGCCTATACCCTGCTAACAGAAGTTTTTTCCGCACGGGTTTTAGCTTTTACGAAGTATTTCACGTATACGTAGCTGGCTTGTTTACGACTCTGCCTATGTTAAAGGTCATGCTGGACAAAAAAACACAGTAGTATAGTACAGATATTTACTTCTTTTGGTGAGGATTTCATTACTTTGCGATCAAATGCATTAACGCCGATCATATCACAGTCTTTATAGTCTTGAACTCATCTATAAAATGCGGTGGAATCTCATTTAGATATGTTATGCCACGCTATAGCGTTTTTTAGACCCTGCTAGCAGGTCTTCTAGTTAATACATAATAAGGATTGACTAAAAGCTAAGTCGAAATCGTCCATAGGTAGAAGTGTAAACAGAATAATCCCTTACTCGTGACGTCATAACCCAAGATTTATTTCCAGCTGCTCTCGTTATCCAGTGCAGACAACTTATTGTCCTGCTTCAGTTATACGGTTTTCTGGCTGAATTTAAAAAAAAAACGTATTTAGAGCAGTACTGGTGCATTATGATAGTCCTGTGATGGACTTAATCATAAACGATTTTGCCAAAAAAAAAAAGGCATGCATCGTCCATAACAATTATTATAAGCAATATTTAAGGCATCAGCCAGTTCCTTTAACCAAAACATGCCTGCGGTAACAAACATGATGAAACAACGCATGTAGCAAAAATCAAGAATTTAAAAGACTTCACTTGACCTGAAGACCTGACGTCAAGTCTTTAAAATCTTAATTTTCTTAACATGCTTTGTTTCATCATGTTTGTTCTTGTTACCGCAGTTTGTGTTTTATTTTTAATTACTGAAGTTTAAATAGCCAAAAAATAAGAGTGTTAACAATATAAAACATACCTGTTTTTAATGACAAATCTGACATTTTTTTCTCGTATTTTTCACAGATGGGCCTTTGGAGTTGTACTTTGGGAAATAGTTACTCTAGGTACGCTAAGAGCTAAATCTATCTGTATAGAATTTTGAGTAACAGTGACTTTAAAAAAAATATATGAAATATGATATTGACGGCGTGGTAGCCATTTACGCCTTTTTTATCATGCTAAATAAACGCAGACAACGTAGTGTTGGTCACTTAGCACATGATCATTTTTCGAATAGGTGCAAAAATCATTTAAACCATTTTTGGAGGAATTGTGTGACACTGCTCATAACTGCTCCATTGTTGTGATATTGCCAAAAAAAAGGTACGCAAGAAGCATTTGTGCCAGTTCAAAGAGATCTGGGAAAAAATTGACTTTTTCAAAGTCTTTCTAAAGAAATGGCTGTTCGGTGTTTATCGCCAAAGGTTCAGTTTTCGCTGAAAAAAAGAGTGGCAAGCCCGTTTTTCTATTAATTGGATTTTATGAGCCCTTGGTATGATCCACTTGTCTTACAAAGTCATTAGTGGCCTTACGAGAAGACGTTTTTGAACGATGCAGGTCAACCGGAGTGGTCCTACTTGGGCAGTACCCTCGCTCAAATCTGGGGAAAACCGTCTCTATACGTGTCAAGACACGTAGCAACACAAATCTGGTAGCGTGAAGGGTACGTATAGGGAAAAGGTCTAAATTCCTGATGACGTCACTGGAACGCTTGCTTTGTGATAAGTTTTGTGGTCAAAGACGCTGGTGCTGTTATGCTACTTTTTCGTTGGGAAAACAAAACGGGCGTTACAGCTGTATATGTCATAATGTAAATACTCAAAACGTAAAAATTGCATGGAGAGGCAGGCCCCACTTCTTAGTTTCATGCCGGTGTGAAACCTTTGAAAACCTCTTACATATTGATATTGCTCCAGTGTGGAGTACAGTTCATCACAGGAAAAATGTGTTCGTTTGCAGAACCTTATACAACAGACAGTTAATTCAGCTAACGCGTATTCCTGTTGAATTGGTTGTCCGTTTTATAAGATATCAAAATCGCGTGAAAGTAAGTACATTTTCGTACTATAATAGTCGAGTTTCTGTGAAACCATAATAAGAGAGGAAGGGATATAATTTCAAGGAATGACAATGTACCTCGTTGTACCTCAACTCAAAAATCGACAAATCGAAATTGAACATGGCTGTTTTTAGCCCTTTGGCAGACGACCGCGCGACTTCTCGAATACCTACCCGCGAAGCAAACATGAGTAAACGTACGTAGAGTGAAAATATCCAAAAAATAGGCTTAAAGGATTATCTCTTTATATAACTAGTACAATCAGTAATTCATATTTTCAAAGGTGCCTAAAAATTCATCTCTCGCAGAAGTGATGCGTGTATATGTGAGTAACATAAAATAGGTCAACTTGGTGTGACGCTCGTGTTTTGAGCCATTAACAGTAATGAACAAACACAAAACAATAGACAAAGAAATTATTTCTTGAAAAATTTTCTTGAAAAAAATTGAAAAAGCTATTGAAAAGCTTTCCTTTGCCCACAAAAAGAAAACTGGACTTTCTTTTGAACTTTCCCAACAACCTGTACAATGAATAGGAATCTCACGCCGTCGAATTTATCCAAAATTCGCCTGTTAGCCGGTAACACGATATTCGCGGTGGGTCATCCATCCAAAGCCCGTCCACCAGGGCTCAACTTGAGTGCCCCTACAAAACCAAGTTTCGCGAGGGTCATTGCAAGATACGTATTTCTAGTTTAGTTTTTAATACGCGTGCATAATTACTTAGCAGCACATTGTAACTCTCTGACCTACGCCATATAAGCCTCTGGCTTTGGCATTGTGCTTTGTGTACTTATTTATCAATAAAGGTTATTATTATTATTATTATTATTATTGTTAAGGTCCTCGATTTGGGGAAATTACATCATTGCAAAAACAGCGAGAACCGGCTTCATCAACTTTCATGCGTCATTTCAGTCATCGTTGAAAATAAACCGCATGCTCATTTGAAAACAATGAATTCAAAGTCGTCACGATTCTTATCCCCAGTTTCCAAGGTCTCCGCTAGGAACGTCTGGGAGCATCAAGTCCTCGTTGGTGCCCACACACAAAGAAAAATAAAAAAGAAAGGCCTGCATTTTTAGTCTTGCCTTGCTAAAGTAAAATCGACTAATAAAATGTCTATAATTTGTAAATTTATAGACTTATAAAATTTCTATAATTTGTAAATTTATAGACTAATAAAATGTCTATAATCTGTAAATTTATAGACTTTTTATAAAGGTGCAATCTTCCCCTCTTCGCGTGCGTCGCTCAAAAACGCGACCTTTGCTTAAACTCCCTAATATCTGGGAAAATACTTCCCGAGCATTACGGGCCACAAGCCGTTCTGATTAATAAATCATTGTATCAGGTGGGACGCCATACCCTACCATGGAAAGCAAAGAATTGTTTCGACAGCTGAAGAATGGGTACAGAATGGAAAAACCGGAAACTTGCAACGAGGAGCTGTAAGTAGTGGCATTGATGATGAAGATATCGAACTTAAATAACCATTCAGTTACCAACAGCTACTAGCTGATTCTCCCTTTAATGGGAAAATTTCTCTTATTCTTTTTTTTTTTTCAGCTACAAAATGATGCAGGACTGTTGGCAGAATAACCCTGAAAATCGTCCCACCTTCACTCAGATTCGGGAGAGCCTGGAGACCATAATGCAGAAGGAAAATCCATATCTGGACCTGACTGCTGTGGACGAATCGCACGCCGAATACAACGTGCAGTCTTGTGACAGTATGGTGGAGGAGTCCGACGATGATCAAAGAGACGACAATGTTAAAGCAGTGTGCCACGAAGGTATGCAACATCGATTAAATTTCCATTCGCTGGAACCGATTTAATACACATTGATTTTAATCTAACTGTATATTCCTTCTTTTCAGAGGCAGGTGGAGACCTAAAGGAGAACATTACGAAAAATGATCCACAGTCCAGTAATCCGTCAGTGGATATCAACGCCAAAACTGAAATCGAGCTGACAACAGAGAGTAATAATTGTGCAAAGAACCATCAAGGTCTTAAAAGCTACGTGCTTAATTTGAATACACTGGAAACGCGTTTCTGAGAATCCGCTTCACAAGGATAAGCCCTGACTGGTCCTGATTGTTCAAAATTCGAACAGTAGTATTGATCCACTGGATAAACCACTAGTCACTGGTTAAGTGTTACGAAACCATTCCCGGACGTTATCCAGGTAGTTATTCATCAAGTGGACATGGCTATATATATCCGCTGTTGAAGACATAAAGGCCTGTTTAGGGACTCGTCCCATGAAAGGTTATGCGGATTTCGAAATGTGGAAAATTTTTGCTTTTGGAATCCGAAATCCTGAGCCCAGTAAGTCAAAAGCCAATTCATTGCTAAACCAGGGTTAAGTTTTAATCCGGTTTCTTTTTCTCTTGTTCAGAGCACTTTTTACGTTAATTTTCTGTATTCTTTTTAGAGGATCCAATAATCAAATTGTAGACAACCCGGCTCTGGGCTTTGGAATCCGTACAATGTAATTTCGCTCTAGGAATTCGGAAGCCCAACAACGATTGCAATCCTGATCCCAAGTTCCACTGACAAGGAATCTAGAATCCCGTACTTGGAATCCACAATCCACGGACTGTCTTGAATTACCTTAAATGAGGCGAAGGGGCTAATACAACAGCGCAATATAAAGGATATAGTTCTAACAAAAATACTTAAAATTGCACGGATTAAAATAAAGCATTCTCAAGACTGATTATAGCCTTGATTGGGTTTATGTAGTTTATTCTGGGTGACGTCTATGAGTGACGTGTTAGGAGACACTTTAATTAAAAAATGACAAAACTGAATGGATATCACAAATGCCTGGCTGTCCCAGCCAGATACATTGCTGATTATGAAAGGCAAAACATTTAAATTTAAGTTACGATATTAGTAAACTTGAAAGTGGAACTCGGAGTTGATATCAATTTCAGGTTCCTAGAGAAAATGTACACTCTACAAACATAAACTCTTATGTCAGTGATATTTCAAATAAAGTAGTAATTGACAGCTATTCGAGGCAAGTCACTACTCTCATTGTCCCTTGAGGTAAAAAAGCACGTTTTGTTACTTTGTATGCACTTTTCCTTTAGAAAGATCAGAGGGTTTTTAAAAGACAAACACTAAAGTTAAGCAGCCTTTTGCGGTTTTGCAAGACTGAACATGGACTTCCCTTCGTAAGCTTTCTCTGACTCCAGGGTGCCCCTGAACCAACCATTCTCATTTTTCTTGGCCCATTCAACTTCCAGCCAGGCACCCATGCTCTTGCTTTTACTGCAACATTTCCGTAACATGACCTTGCACTTCTCCTTCTTGCCGAGCAGGAGATGAAAATAAGCGAGTAAGTGAAGTCGCCGACCTTCAAACACCGGATGATGATTAAGTGATCCTTTAAGTTTCTTCAGAACCTGGAATCAACAAAGTTAGCTTGATAAAACTCTGGAACACCCGCATACTGTATGTGAGCCTCCTTTAAACCTGTTTATCTCGGTCGTATGAAAACTAAGTTTTCAACGGGATTGACTGCACAGAATGACTTATCATAAGTAGGTTGAGTACGATCGTCCGGGTGAAAGTAGTCCTGAATAGGACTGTTGTTGAGAGGGACTGACGTTTCGACAACCTGTGTGGTAGTCATCCTCAGAGTCAAAGTGAGTTAGTCAGTTGACGATATCAAACTGTGGTTATTGATATGCTTAGTCATTTAAGTCGCCATGTTTGTCAGAGTTAAACAGTCGTTTATTGTTAGTCGAATTGTCGGTTGTCAATTCATTCTCTCGTAATTAGTTTTGCTTGAGTCTGTCAATTCGTCTGTGTTTGCACGGTGCTGGTAACTGTTTCCTACGATTCAGTCGCGTTTATTCTGAGTTAGTAAACGAACTTTCTAAAGTGAGTCAGAATACGTAATACATATCGCAGAGTCACAGTCGATTTGAAGTTTTTGGTCTGTAAATGGTGTTCAGCAAAGTGATTGTTGTCTTCACCATTTCTTGTCGTTTGTTTGTGTTCGGTCGGTCGCGTGCTAAGATTTCTGCCGGTTTCACCGATGTAAGTGGCCTGGCAATCGCAGCATTTGATCGTGTATACTGCTCCCTGTCTGTCCTCCAGTTTGTCTTTGTCTTCGACAGAATTAAGGTAGTTGAACTTGTCGTAAAGTGGTTATAAGTTTGTGTGCAACACGTATGTTGTTAGGTTATTATGTAGTATTAAGGTGCGATACTTTCAGAGGTGCCTCTGATGTACGATATAGTCCCTGTCGTAACAGGGCCAGAGTTGACGTGGGTCTGAGTGTTGGAATCAGTGTTACTGTGAGCGTTTCGTCTGACAAAGCCCTCGCTGTAGTTGTTTTAGTAAAACCGTTGTTTAGGTTGTCAGTCTTGTCTTGTAGGCTGTCAGGCGAATCGCAAACTAATTGCGCGGGTCTCGTCAAAGTCCGTATAGTTGTATCCTTGAGGGAGGTCGGGTTGCACGATGACATACGATCTAGTGAATCTGTCGGTATGTGTCGCTTTTCTGTAAATTTTCCCTCCTAGCCGTATTATTTTGTTGTCGCGAGTGAACAAGCAGTCTAGAACAGGTATTTTACAATTTTCCTGGATCTTCGTGCCAAACTGCATGTCCGCGTGATGTTTGTTAAGGTGTTCGTAGAAATCGTATTTTTTGTCTTTGCTTGTACGGCGGTGAAAGTGTCGTCATCGTAGCGTAACCAAAGAGGTATAGTTCGCGTATAAGTAGCAACTGGGGCTTGTTCCTCGGTGTTTTGCACAAAAAATTCTGCTAAAACATAGCTGTGTCCTGGTAGCTGTTTGTAGTGTTTACCGTTGTACTGAAAGTACGTCGAAGTTAGGCAGAAGTTGAGTAGGTCCATGATGTCGTCTGTAGGTAGTGGTAGTTCAACAGTAGTAGCGTTGTCAATGTAGTCTGTAGCCAGTTGAAGTGGAATACTGGTGAACATTGATTTCACATCAAAAGACGCTAGTTTTTGCTCGTCAGGTATCTGTTTTGTCTTGATGGCGTCAATAAAGTTCTCAGTCGACTGTGGCTTATGTCCAGATTCGTCAATCAAAGGTTTCAGCACGTTAATTAAGTATTTTGACAGTTGGTAAGTCGATGACCCTTGGAAGGATTAAACAGGCTTCTGTCTCGTTCGTTGCTGACTATATCTTAAATCCGTTGGTGAGGCAATTAGGAGCAAAGATGTTGTGTTCCTTTTTTTCGATGATACCTAGTTAATTCACCCATAAAGTTATTCCCTGCAGATAATTTAGAAAAACTAACCTAATATCGATTATCTTTAGGTTGCATATCAAGAAATTCATTTGATGAACTCACCTTAGTAGCCTCGTGCTCATAATGTCTATTTTTGCTATTATGGCGTTGCTTCGACAGCCAAAACTCCACGATCTTCACAAACCCGTGAACAGCCATAAGCACTTCTAACTTTAATGGCTCTAGAGCTAGTAAGAGAAGCAACGTATCATATTAGAGATCCTACAGTCATTGGCTTTAAATATAGTTTCCCGCAATAAAAAAAAATTACTTCCCAATCGGGTGATATTGCCTCCGGTTGAATGTTTACTTAGCCATAAACAGTGTACTTGACAAAACTCTTAACATTTACCTAAAGTTACATAATAAGCCCCGTGATCATAAAAAATATGTTAAGCTTAACCTAATAAAAATGCAAACAAGGGAATTATCAAAAGCCATAAAAATCGACTCTGTGATAAAAGAAGAAATTAACGGAGTCCTTATAATTTAACAATAATCCAGATGACACAGATCTGTAATTGTACACTATTCAGGTTTATTCCAAGCCAGCATCAGCACCAGCCAGTTTTGCAAAGAAGCAAGTGAAAAGAAGTCTTTGGAAA